TTGAGTGTCTTGTAATTGTGTGTAAATATTTGACCAATTGTCTTGTAACTGAAACTGTAAATATTCGACCAATCAAATCTCTGTTAACTTATCCCTATACGTGCCTACAAGCAGCTACTATAATTTGATCAACACATTTTTGTACTCTTGTTCTATTTTTGGTACCTCTCATCTAAAGGAAGAAAATAAAGTGTATTTAAAATTCGTTTTACTGTGTTAACATTTTCACCGACCTGTTCAAAGCTTTGATACGAGAGCTTAAAAATGTGATCAGAGCTAAGACAGAGCTAACACAAAATAGTACATTGTTTATCTATATTTCGCCAAGACGGCATGTTTGACCTCTAGTCTTGGGCCACTGTGTGAACGGGCCACCGGGTGAACGGGCCACCGGGTGAACGGGCCACCGGGTGAACGGGCCACCGGGTGAACGGGCCACCGTGTGAACGGGCCACCGGGTGAACGGGCCACCGGGTGAATGGCCCACCGGGTGAACGGGCCACCGTGTGAACGGGCCACCGGGTGAATGGCCCACCGTGTGAACGGGCCACCGTGTGAACGGGCCACCGGGTGAATGGCCCACCGTGTGAACGGGCCACCTGGTGAACGGGCCACTGTGTGAACGGGCCCCCGGGTAAACTGGCCACAAAGACCGTCCCACAACTGGCGCAACAAAGAGGAAAAAAATTGTAGATGTTCACTTACCCAAGTCAATTCCTAAGGAAACTACATGGAATGATGAAATGAAATAGTATTTCATATAATTCTAGTGCATTCAATTTATATTATCATTGGAAATAGACACACACACACACACACACGCACGCACACGCACGCACACACACACACAAACACCATCTCTCACCACGTCTACCCTACCCCTTCTTCACACACAAACCCCCCGACCCCCCCCCCCTTTTTTTTTTTTAAACATACCACACCTACAAGATCTATGTCAAATAACATGCATCGTTCCAATTATTTCGAGTTGGTATGATGCTGTTTCCCAATAAATTAATAAAAGGTTGAAATGTTCCTGATTATTATATAAAGCCACACATCCCCACACAAAATAATCATGCATACGCCCCTGGATGTAGGTATGCATGCTGGTATATGTATTAGTGTGGATAAAAAGTAAAAAGTTCAGTAAAAAGTAAGTTCCTCTGTTAAACACTCAACGTTTTACATTTAAATGGAATATACGATCTATTCTTCATGAGGCATTTTGATAATTCTGTTTGAAATGATCGGCCATGAAAAGACGCCATTTAATTGCCCGTGGTCGGGGATCTGACCAATAAATACTGCAGGCCTCATTGGCCGCGAGGGTGTCGCATCGATCTGACCACCAATTAGGGCCATCCAATTAGGGCCATCCAATTAGGGCCATCTGCGCTTGGGTGCACGGTCCGGGTTATGGAGGAAGTTGTGCATATTTCATGTGGTGATGGCGTCAGGGTCGTGCTGTGGTCGGAGTTTAATCTGGTCACAGGGGGTGGCTAGCTAAATGGCTGGCTAGCTTAGTGGCTGGCTAGCTAAATGGCTGGCTAGCTAAATGGATAGCTAGCTAAATGGCTGGCTAGCTAAATGGCTGGCTAGCTAAATGGCTGGCTAGCTAAATGGCTGGCTAGCTCAATGGCTGGCTAGCTCAATGGCTGGCTAGATTAGTGGCTGGATAGCTAAATGGCTGGCTAGTCCAGTGGCTGGCTAGCTAAATGGCTGGCTAGATTAATGGCTGGCTAGCTAAATTGCTGGCTAACATACCTCTGACTAGCTAAATGGACTTCTACATCTCATTTATCCCCTCACATATAACACACCCACTCCCACACATAACACACCCACACATACGCTTTTGTTGACAAGCCACGCCCCTTATTGGTAGCTGTCTGACAACATAATGTGTTTAGCGTAGTGGCACCGCTTGGTTAAATTATGTATGTCGTGACAGGCTAGCAAATGTTCGATGGCATCTCTCGTCAAGGCTTCACATCCTGCCCACACAACACGTGGACAATATCTTTTCTTCTATAGAACTTTAACTAGTTCATCGATCTCATCTATTCGGTCTATTGTTATCTCGGTTACTTGCTCGCGGTTACCTCCCTTGGTTGGTAGCGCCCGGATCGTCTCCCCTGTCGATTCGTCCCATTTTGTCTTTTATATACATACTCCCCTGCTTATCCTTTTTGACCAGTCACATCCTTATCCTACCTACTACACTTATCCTACCTGGCCAGCTACACTTATCCTACCTGGCCAGTTACACTTATCCTACCTGGCCAGCTACACTTATCCTACTTGGCCAGCTACACTTATCCTACCTGGCCAGCTACACTTATCCTACCTGGCCAGCTACACTTATCCTACTTGGCCAGCTACACTTATCCCACCTGGCCAGTTACACTTATCCTACCTGGCCAGTTACACTTATCCTACTTGGCCAGCTACACTTATCCTACTTGGCCAGCTACACTTATCCTACTTGGCCAGCTACACTTATCCTACCTGGCCAGCTACACTTATCCTACTTGGCCAGCTACACTTATCCTACTTGGCCAGCTACACTTATCCTACTTGGCCAGCTACACTTATCCTACCTGGCCAGCTACACTTATCCTACCTGGCCAGCTACACTTATCCTACTTGGCCAGCTACACTTATCCTACCTGACCAGCTACACTTATCCTACTTGGCCAGCTACACTTATCCTACCTGACCAGCTACACTTATCCTACCTGGCCAGCTACACTTATCCTACCTGACCAGCTACACTTATCCTACCTGGCCAGCTACACTTATCCTACCTGACCAGCTACACTTATCCTACCTGGCCAGCTACACTTATCCTACCTGGCCAGCTACACTTATCTTACCTGGCCAGCTACACTTATCCTACCTGGCCAGCTACACTTATCCTACTTGGCGAGTTACACTTATTCTACTTGGCCAGTTACAATTACCCTAATTAGCTAGTCACCATTATCCTACTTGGCGTGTCACATATCCCTTTGATCAGGCCCCTATGAACAAAGCTTACAAGCAGACGTGAGGCCCGCCGCTGTAGGACACGGACGTCTAGAGACTGTACGGACCACTGATTCAAGCGACCCCAGCGGAAATTTATCTGGCAACATCCAGTGCTAAAGGGGTAACCAAACCACGTCAAAGGGAAGGCACTCAAGCCACAGATGACTAGCCACGGGTGGAAATAGAAGCTACGGGTGAGTCATCAAAGGGCAGTAACTACAGCAACAGTTGTTATTAAACAAGGGATGGAACTCGGGCAACATGTATCAAACAGTAAACTAAATCAGCCCGTTGGCTCGTAGGTTGCAGCTTTAGCTTCCAGTAGCGAATTGTTCAACGTTCATTTAGCAGCCTCCATATCTAGACACTGTCTAGGCTTATGCAAGGTGGTGACAAAAACAGATGGGTCACCACTGGGGACAATTGGTGACACACAAAAGATGGGTCACCACAGATCAACTAGGCTACACATCATTAACTACCACTATAACACAAACATCATTAACTACCACTATAACACAAACATCATTAACTACCACTATAACACAAACATCATTAACTGCCACTATAACACAAACATCATTAACTGCCACTATAACACAAACATCATTAACTGCCACTATAACACAAACATCATTAGCTGCCACTATAACACAAACATCATTAACTGCCACTATAACAGAAACATAATTAGCTGCCACTATAACACAAACATCATTAACTGTCACTATAACACAAACATCATTAGCTGCCACTATTACACAAACATAATTAGCTGCCACTATAACACAAACATCATTAGCTGCCACTATAACACAAACATCATTAACTGACACTATAACACAAAGATCATTAACTGACACTATGGACTACTTATCAACGTTAAAAAATATAATTGTTAACACTTTCAAAACACTTCAAACAAAGGGAACTTTGAAAGTAGAAAAAAAAAATTTTTTGAAAGAATGAATATGTAAGGGAAGTAAATAGTGAAATTCATTTGTTTATTTTCGTGGAAGTGGTTGTCTTTCTTTTCTGAAAAATATATGCGAAAAATTCTTTTTTTTCACGTGTATATATCACTATCAATGTTAGAAAGCAATAATAATCTTAAACTTTTTTAACAAAGATCTAAGATTGTATTTAGAAAAAGTTCTGGCATAATACTTAAACTCGCCCGGTAAGGTGTTTCTTGTTGTTACAGCGGTGAAAACTCTCTGGAACCGCAACTTCTACTTTTTAACAATGGGTGTACTATATACTATATTTACACTTATCTTAACGTGTGTCCTGGATAAATATGCCTATATATATGTATATATATATATATATATATATATATATATATATATATATATATATATATATATATATATATATATATATATATATATATATATATATATATATATATATATATATATATATATATATATATATATATATATATATATATATATATATATATATATATATATATATATATATATATATATATATATATATATATATATATATATATATATATATATATATATATATACATATATATACATATACATATATATACATATATATATATATATATATATATATATATATATATATATATATATATATATATATATATATATATATATAAATATATATATATATATATATATATATATACATATATGTTTATGCAACTTAAAATTGTGGGAATATGACGATGTTTCTAAGATTTCAAAAACTTTTACCCATCAATATTTTCACTAGCCCATGGATTTACCATTTTCTTGCCGTGATAAATGGCCGAGGCAAGTCTGTAAAATTTGATACAACAGCTCGCATGTCTGGGGCGATAGTGAACAGCCTAAAGGCAATCAATGGAGATTATAAGGTGGCGGTACAGCTGCTACAAGCCATGGCTGAGAGACCGCTGGTCGATTCCTTCCATCTGTCGTAGCTGGTGAAAACAGGCTCGGTCTTCGTGGCCTGACGCTCACTGGGTGACTAGCCTGCTGGATGTGGTCAGTGGTCGGTAGACTGTGGTCAGTGGACGGTAGACTGTGGTCATTGGACGGTAGACTGTGGTCAGTGGACGGTAGACTGTGGTCAGTGGTCGGTAGACTGTGGTCAGTGGACGGTAGACTGTGGTCAGTGGACGGTAGACTGTGGTCAGTGGACGGTAGATAGTGGTCAGTGGACGGTAGTTTGTGGTCAGTGGACGGTAGTTCTATTGAGATTGTGGTCAGTGGACGGTAGTTCTATTGAGATTGTGGTCAGTGGACGGTAGTTCTATTGAGACTGTGGTCAGTGGACGGTAGTTCTATTGAGACTGTGGTCAGTGGACGGTAGTTTGTGGTCAGTGGACGGTAGTTCTATTGAGACTGTGGTCAGTGGACGGTACTTCTATTGAGACTGTGGTCAGTGGACGGTAGTTTGTGGTCAGTGGACGGTAGTTCTATTGAGACTGTGGTCAGTGGACGGTAGTTCTATTGAGACTGTGGTCAGTGGACGGTAGTTCTATTGAGATTGTGGTCAGTGGACGGTAGTTCTTCTAGGACTGTGGTCAGTGGACGTCAGTTTGTGGTCAGTCACTCCGGCCTTTTCTGTGATGTTTAGGTGAACGTCGAGCAGATAAGTTGTGAGATCTCCAGTGATGAAAGTGATAAGTCAGATAGTTGTCTCTAGCGATGTTTGTTGCTTGGCCACAAGTTAGGTAAACATGATGGAATGTGTGGCGTGATGGCCGCGCCCCATTTGTCAGACGGTTCAAAAAGTATTTGAACAAGAAAGATTCTGCCCTACTGCCGTGTGTTAGGGCGCCACCTGAAGATTCTGCCCTACTGCCGTGTGTTAGGGCGCCACCTGAAGATTCTGCCCTACTGCCGTGTTAGGGCGCCACCTGAAGATTCTGCCCTACTGCCGTGTTAGGGCGCCACCTGAAGATTCTGCCCTACTGTCGTGTGTTAGGGCGCCACCTGAAGATTCTGCCCTACTGTCGTGTGTTAGGGCGCCACCTGAAGATTCTGCCCTACTGTCGTGTGTTAGGGCGCCACCTGAAGATTCTGCCCTACTGTCGTGTGTTAGGGCGCCACCTGAAGATTCTGCCCTACTGCCGTGTGTTAGGGCGCCACCTGGCGGCCATGTTCGTCACACGTAGGAAACTCAAGCTGCTGACTGTAGCCGGCGTGTTCGCCCTGTTCTACTTCTACATCCTCTTATCCAGTAGCAGCATCGAGAGCCTCCTGCTCAGACCTCGCTCGGACACGCTGACCAGCAACCACAGCCACCGCCTCTCCCCCTTCGAGGGCCCCGTGGATGACCTTCTGGGGGAGAAGATCAAGGTCACCCTGCGGCCGTCTCGTCGCGGGGAGACCACGCCCCAAGAGAACCCGTTTGAAGGGTTCAGGGAGAGTGACGTCATGGACGCTGAGGTGATAGAACTGGACAGGAAGTCCAGGGGAGGCAAAAAAATTGGGCTGAGACTAGGTCAGGGGGGCAGGCACAAGCAGGAGTCTCAAGAGAACATCGTCAACGTGCTGGGGGGCGGGGAGAACAGCTTCCGCCGGCACAAGGGAGAACACGTGCCACGACGTCAGCCCGGGATAGTGGAGCCCCACCCAGACATTCTCAACACGGAGGACGCCGACAAGAGCAGGACTTGGCACGAGGACACTGAGATCATTTTCACGCCCTTAAAACAGAAAAACGTATCGGAGACGGACTCTTGTTTTGTTGTGGATAAGAACAAAAGCTATCCTGACGTCACATTTCCGTTTTATGTCAAGAAGGGTGAGCCGCAGGACGCAGGTGAGAATTGGTTAACTTGATGTGGGTCTTAACTTGATGTGGGTCTTAACTTGATGTGGGTCTTAACTTGATGTGGGTCTTAACTTGATGTACCACAGGTAGGTATGTGGGTCTTGATGTACCACAGGTAGGTATGTGGGTCTTGATGTATGTTTGCTTTGATTTGATCGACATTACACGGGTGAGTTTATGCCTCTAGTCCCAGTGCGTGCAAATCTACGTGAAACTGTACCAACGTATCTGTTTTATTATTATCTTATTTATTGTATTTAAGTACTCACGAGTGTTGACCTACGTATTGACCTCTGGCCGGCATTGACCTAGTGTTGACATACGTATTGACCTATGGCCGTCATTGACCTAGTGTTGACCTGTGTATTGACCTCTGGCCGGAATTGACCTAGTGTTAACCTATGTATTGACCTCTGGCCGGCATTGACCTAAAGTTGACCTACGTATTGACCTCTGGACGGCGTTGACCTAGTGTTGACCTGTGTATTGACCTGTGTATTGACCTCTGGCCGGTATAGGTGAGTACGGGCGACAGGTGGTAATACCACGTGACAACCAGACCCGGGAAGACAGGATCCTGCAGGAGCGAGAGTACCAGGTCAACTACTTCAACGAGCGGGTCAGCAGGCTCATCTCAGTACACCGCGCCCTGCCTGACAACAGAGACTCCAGGTGAGCGAGCTACAGCAGCTCTAACATCGTGTGTATGAGCGAGCTACAGCAGCTTTAACATCGTGTGTATGAGCGAGCTACAGCAGCTTTAACATCGTGTGTATGAGCGAGCTACAGCAGCTTTAACATCGTGTGTATGAGCGAGCTACAGCAGCTTTAACATCGTGTGTATGAGCGAGCTACAGCAGCTAACATCGTGTGTATGAGCGAGCTACAGCAGCTTTAACATCGTGTGTATGAGCGAGCTACAGCAGCTTTAACATCGTGTGTATGAGCGAGCTACAGCAGCTTTAACATCGTGTGTATGAGCGAGCTACAGCAGCTAACATCGTGTGTATGAGCGAGCTACAGCAGCTTTAACATCGTGTGTATGAGCGAGCTACAGCAGCTTTAACATCGTGTGTATGAGCGAGCTACAGCAGCTTTAACATCGTGTGTATGAGCGAGCTACAGCAGCTTTAACATCGTGTGTATGAGCGAGCTACAGCAGCTTTAACATCGTGTGTATGAGCGAGCTACAGCAGCTTTAACATCGTGTGTATGAGCGAGCTACAGCAGCTTTAACATCGTGTGTATGAGCGAGCTACAGCAGCTTTAACATCGTGTGTATGAGCGAGCTACAGCAGCTTTAACATCGTGTGTATGAGCAAGCTACAGCAGCTTTAACATCGTGTGTATGAGCGAGCTACAGCAGCTCTAACATCGTGTGTATGAGCGAGCTACAGCAGCTTTAACATCGTGTGTATGAGCGAGCTACAGCAGCTTTAACATCGTGTGTATGAGCGAGCTACAGCAGCTTTAACATCGTGTGTATGAGCGAGCTACAGCAGCTTTAACATCGTGTGTATGAGCGAGCTACAGCAGCTTTAACATCGTGTGTATGAGCGAGCTACAGCAGCTAACATCGTGTGTATGAGCGAGCTACAGCAGCTTTAACATCGTGTGTATGAGCGAGCTACAGCAGCTTTAACATCGTGTGTATGAGCGAGCTACAGCAGCTTTAACATCGTGTGTATGAGCGAGCTACAGCAGCTTTAACATCGTGTGTATGAGCGAGCTACAGCAGCTTTAACATCGTGTGTATGAGCGAGCTACAGCAGCTTTAACATCGTGTGTATGAGCGAGCTACAGCAGCTTTAATATCGTGTACAGCGGGGCCGGACTAGTTCAGAGTGATTCCATTCATCCAGTCAACTTATAAAACAAACCACACAATTTTAGTCATTAGTGTTCAAAACTTTGTCGATACATTCTTAAAAATAAAATTAACTTTTTTAAACCACGTGGTCTAATTATGACATATTTATTTACATTTTCTGTGACAAAATAAAAACAACCAAATTGTTTTTGTTTTTAAGAAGAAAGTTGGTAAGTTACTGAGAATACTAAACACATCCGACAAAAACCACAGCCACGTTTTTATAATCATTTTATATCGTACTTGATTTGAATAATGTTTAAAGGGCTTTTTGAATAATTTCAAGACTATTTTCGGTTGGGTCCATTCATTTAAAAAATAAACACATTTTCAAAACATTTTGTAAGGCCTCATGCTGTCCAAATACGAAGGGAAATTCCTCCCCCCCCCCCCCCCCCCCCACTTGCTGCCTCTGTACTAACCAGTGTTTCTCCCAGACTTTTTTCTCCGGGGGAAGGGCGGCACTTGAAATTTTCGGGAGGGAGGGGGGAGGGGCGGACTAAAATTTCCGGGGGGGCGGGACACTTTTAAAAGTGTAGCCTTTCTTCGGGGGGGTGGGGGGGTGGGGGGTGGTGGAAGAGATGCCTGAAAGAAACTCTGGTGCTAACTGCCATCTTGCTGCCCACAGATGTAGAGAAACTCCCCCCGATCTGCCCGCTGCCTCTGTGCTAATTGTCTTCTACAACGAGGCTTGGTCAACTCTACTGCGCAGTATCCACAGCGTCCTTGACCGAACACCTCCACATCTGCTGGAGGAGATTATCCTGCTGGATGACTTTTCTAACATGGGTGAGTCAGTCAGTCACAGGTAGTGGGGGAGACAGTCAGTCATAGGTAGTGGGGGAGTCAGTCAGTCACAGGTAGTGGGGGAGTCAGTCAGTCACAGGTAGTGGGAGAGTCAGTCAGTCACAGGTAGTGGGGGAGTCAGTCACAGGTAGTGGGGGAGTCAGTCAGTCACAGGTAGTGGGGGAGTCAGTCAGTCACAGGTAGTTGGGGAGTCAGTCAGTCACAGGTAGTGGGGGAGTCAGTCAGTCACAGGTAGTGGGAGAGTCAGTCAGTCACAGGTAGTGGGGGAGTCAGTCACAGGTAGTGGGGGAGTCAGTCAGTCACAGGTAGTGGGGGAGTCAGTCACTCACATGTAGTGGGGGAGTCAGTCAGTCATGGGTAGTCGGGGAGTCAGTCAGTCACAGGTAGTGGGGAGTCAGTCAGTCAGTCAGTCACAGGTAGTGGGGGAGTCAGTCAGTCACAGGCAGTGTGGGAGTCAGTCAGTCACAGGTAGTGGGGGAGTCAGTCAGTCACAGGTAGTGGGGGAGTCAGTCAGTCACAGGTAGTGGGGGAGTCAGTCAGTCACAGGTAGTGGGTGAGTCAGTCAGTCACAGATAGTGGGGGAGTCAATCAGTCACAGGCAGTGGGGGAGTCAGTCAGTCACAGGTAGTGGGGGAGTCAGTCAGTGGTAGTGGGGGAGTCAGTCAGTGGTAGTGGGGGAGTCAGTCAGTCATGGGTAGTCGGGGAGTCAGTCAGTCAGTCACAGGTAGTGGGGGAGTCAGTCAGTCACAGGCAGTGGGGGAGTCAGTCACAGGCAGTGGGGGAGTCAGTCAGTCACGGTAAGTAGATACGTGAGTCTATCGCGGGTCAGGTGTGAGTGAGGAAATCATTCATCTTAAGGTCTTAAATCCCAAACCCTTTTTTATATTATTTATGTTGTTGTTTTTATGTCCTGCATGTTAGAATGTAGTATGCACTGCGTATGATTGCAATGGTGTGCCCTATTTGCGATATGCTTAACTCTACTCCACCTATCTCTTGACCACTAGACCACCTGAAAGAGCCGCTGGAGGCGTACGTCCAACCACTAGAGAAAGTGAGGCTGATCAGAGCCAAAGAGAGGCTTGGCCTCATTCGGGCAAGGAACACGGTGTTTGAGTTCGCCAAGGCCAAGGTCGTCATATTCCTGGACTCACACATCGAGTGTTTTGCAGGTGACGTCACTGCTCCACTGGTCATTACTCCACTGGTCAGCTGATTCCCACAGCGGCCAACAATAAGTTAACCCTAACCTGATATTTTTGTCCTTATTGAGTCCACGTTAGAAAAGGTCCTAATGTTTTGTCCTTATTGGGTCCACGTTAGAAAAGGTCCTAATGTTTTGTCCTTATTGGGTCCACGTTAGAAAAGGTCCTAATGTTTTGTCCTTATTGGGTCCACGTTAGAAAAGGTCCTAATGTTTTGTCCTTATTGGGTCCACGTTAGAAAAGGTCCTAATGTTTTGTATTTATTGAGTCCACGTTAAAAAAGGTCCTGTTTTGTCCTTATTGAGTCAACGTTAGAAAAGGTCCTAATGTTTTGTCTTTATTGAGTCCACGTTAGAAAAGGTTCTATTGACGACAGCAGTTTCTCTTCCCCCCCCCCCCCCCTGTTTAGGCTGGATCGAGCCCCTGTTGGCGCCCATCCAAGCAGACTTCCGGTGCGTCACGTTCCCCACCATCGAGTACATCAACCCCTCCACATTCGGCACCGGCATGAGCACGTCAGCCCGACAGGTCGGGGGTCTGAACATCAACACCCTACAGTTCAACTGGCTCTACGAGAGGAAGCGGAACTCTACTGACACCATCAGAAATATTCCGTAAGTCACGTGTCGACTTGTAATGCGCCATATAGGACGTTCACTTCGATTTAAGCCTGCTTCTCTTTTTGGATTTGCCTCCATAGAACAAATTACAAGGCAGCAGTTGTTTGATTTTTAGAGCCGCCTCTTCTAGAAGAGTTGGTGAGCCCATCTAGCGGAAAAAATTTTGGTTAAAATGAAATTTCATTTTGTCATGTCTAGATGTGCTATTGGTACCAAGACAACGACATACCTCGATATTCGTACCAAGACAATGACATACCTCGATATTCGTACCAAGACAACGGCATACCTCGATATTCGTACCAAGACAACGGCATACCTCGAGTCCATATCTCCAAACCCAAAATCTTCTGAAATGTAACACTAATAAATGAGACGTGAAACCCCAGCAGTCGGCTTGATGAAAACGTCTGCCAGTTCATGGATGGGTGGCGCTGTTTGTCTTTAAGTTAACTCGCGGTGACCTCTAGCGGTGACCTCTAGCGGTGACCTCTAGCGGTGACCTCTAGCGGTGACCTCTCGCGGTGACCTCTGGCGGTGTACTAAAGCGGTGGAATGTTTTATTGTCTCTTGATTCATGACATTCACATTTAATGTAACGGCACAGTTTTATACATGCCGCTTTAAGTTTTGTACAAGGTGTAACCACTCGGTGTGTGCTGACGATCTGATCGCTGAGGTATTGATCCCAGACCTTGGCAACAGCTGAGGAAAGTGACGTCATACAACGTTTGCTACAGCTTTCTCTACAGCGGCGGGGACGGGGGTGTTGGAGGAGGGCTGGTAGGTTTAGAGCAGTGTTTCTAAACCTGGAATCGGTCGAACCGCTGGGGTTCGGTGAGTTAGTCTGAGGGGTTCGGCGGAGGTCAAGATACCACCCCCCAGAGGCGTAGCGAAGAGGGCGGGGCGGGTGAGTACATATGTCCCCGGGCGCCAACACTAGTGCGCCAAAATGGGTTGGAAAAAATTCAAAGCTCTTTTTAGCTGCAGTTTTGAATTATAAACACAAAAAAATATATGGGGGGCGCCAAATTGAAAGTTTGTCCCCGGGCGCCGGGAGGGGTCGCTACGCCTCTGCACCCCCCCCCCTCCAACTCATATGAGTTACGATCGCATTTTATCAGTGAGGACGATAAAATCATTAAGAAGGATTCGGTCAATGAACCTATGAATCTGTTGGGGTTCGGTACCTACAAAAAGGTTAAGAACCACTGGTTTAGAGCAGGGGTCTCCAAACTACGGCCCGCGGGCTGAGGTACTTTGCTCAGAAAATTCAAAACAATTTGAAAATCTAGCTTTGGGTATAAATATCTTTGCCCTCCGTGTTGCAAACATTGATGAAAACATTGTGATTCAAATAGAGTCGCTGGACAGCTGTTCCATGTTTTTGGAACAAGTACAGGGCAACAACTTGACACACTTTCGCACTTTCAGCAGTGCAATGTCTTCATGGCTGAAGCAACAGCTGAGTTCCCCACATCATTTGCATGCAAGATAATCTAAGACCTCCAGCTGCAGTTTCAGTAACGGTTTTCTGACTAGGATTCAAAGGCAGAAGAAGTGAGACTGCTTCAAAACCCATTTGAAGCAAATGTAACCAGTTGCCTAGATGAACTGCAGATGGAGGTCATTGAATTGCAAGCAAATGACCGCCATAGAGACAAGTTAAAAAAAATGGCGGGTGGGTTTTTGTGTTTGCCCAAGGAGAACAAACTCAAACCTCTAGTGTGTTGTTCGCCCCGACAGTGTTTCTTTCAGACTTCTTCTCCTGTAGGGGGGGGGCTTTTAAAATGTGTATATATTTCTATATAAGTTATATTTCGTTGGGGGGGGGGGGAGGGGGGCACGGGGGACACCACCACCCCAAAGGATGCATGGAAGAAACTCTACTCTGGCCCGCGAACTGATATTTGATAGTTAATGCGGCCCTCGGGCTGAAAAGTTTGGAGACCCCTGGTTTAGAGGATGGGCTGATTTAAACGAGGTCATTGTTCGCAGGTCTCCGACGATGCCTGGTGGTCTGTACGCTGTGTCACGTGACTGGTTCCAGACACTCGGGAAATACGATCCTGGCCTGGACTTCTGGGGAGGGGAGAACATTGAAATCTCTTTTAAGGTAAAGTTGTGGGGAGAACATTGAGATCTCTTTTAAGGTAAAGTAGTGGGGAGAACATTGAGATCTCTTTTAAGGTAAAGTTGTGGGGAGAACATTGAGATCTCTTTTAAGGTAAAGTTGTGGGGAGAACATTGAGATCTCTTTTAAGGTAAAGTTGTGGGAGGGGAGAACATTGAGATCTCTTTTAAGGTAAAGTTGTGGGAGGGGAGAACATTGAGATCTCTTTTAAGGTAAAGTTGTGGGGAGAACATTGAGATCTCTTTTAAGGTAAAGTTGTGGGGAGAACATTGAGATCTCTTTTAAGGTAAAGTTGTGGGGAGGGGAGAACATTGAGATCTCTTTTAAGGTAAAGTTGTGGGGAGAACATTGAGATCTCTTTTAAGGTAAAGTTGAGGGAGGGGAGAACATTGAGATCTCTTTTAAGGTAAAGTTGTGGGGAGGGGAGAACATTGAGATCTCTTTTAAGGTAAAGTTGTGGGGAGAACATTGAGATCTCTTTTAAGGTAAAGTTGTGGGAGGGGAGAACATTGAGATCTCTTTTAAGGTAAAGTTGTGGGGAGAACATTGAGATCTCTTTAAAGGTAAAGTTGTGGGGAGAACATTGAGATCTCTTTTAAGGTAAAGTTGTGGGGAGAACATTGAGATCTCTTTTAAGGTAAAGTTGTGGGAGAGGAGAACATTGAGATCTCTTTTAAGGTAAAGTTGTGGGGAGAACATTGAGATCTCTTTTAAGGTAAAGTTGTGGGGAGGGGAGAACATTGAGATCTCTTTTAAGGTAAAGTTGTGGGGAGAACATTGAGATCTCTTTTAAGGTAAAGTTGTGGGGAGGGGAGAACATTGAGATCTCTTTTAAGGTAAAGTTGTGGGAGGGGAGAACATTGAGATCTCTTTTAAGGTAAAGTTGTGGGAGGGGAGAAGATTGAGATCTCTTTTAAGGTAAAGTTGTGGGGAGAACATTGAGATCTCTTTTCAGGTAAAGTTGTGGGAGGGGAGAAGATTGAGATCTCAATTCAGGTAAAGTTGAAATAGCTCTCAACGTTTCAGGTGTGGATGTGTGGTGGTTCCATCCTGCTGGTTCCATGCTCTCATGTCGGTCACGTGTTTCGATTGAGGAACCCAACCCTGTCTGGGGTTGTGCTGACCTACAAGAACGTGGTTCGTGTGGCCGAGGTCTGGATGGACGAGTACAAGCACTTCTTCTACGAGAGGTTCGCCTACAACATTGTAAGCTCACCTACAACATTGTAAGATATGGTCAGCTACAACATTGTAAGATATGCTAAGCTACAACATTGTAAGATATGCTCACCTACAACATTGTAAGATATGCTCACCTACAACATTGTAAGATATGCTCAGCTACAACATTGTAAGATTTGCTCACCTACAACATTGTAAGCTCACCTACAACATTGTAAGATATGCTAAGCTACAACATTGTAAGATATGCTCACCTACAACATTGTAAGCTCACCTACAACATTGTAAGATATGCTAAGCTACAACATTGTAAGATTTGCTCACCTACAACATTGTAAGATATGCTCAGCTACAACATTGTAAGATTTGCTCACCTACAACATTGTAAGATATGCTCAGCTACAACATTGTAAGATTTGCTCACCTACAACATTGTAAGATATGCTAAGCTACAACATTGTAAGATATGCTAAGCTACAACATTGTAAGATATGCTCACCTACAACATTGTAAGATATGCTCACCTACAACATTGTAAGCTCACCTTCAACTTTGTAAGATATGGTCAGCTACAACATTGTAAGATATGCTAAGCTACAACATTGTAAGATATGCTCACCTACAACATTGTAAGATATGCTCAGCTACAACATTGTAAAATATGCTCACCTACAACATTGTAAGATATGCTCAGCTACAACATTGTAAGATTTGCTCACCTACAACATTGTAAGATATGCTCAGCTACAACATTGTAAGATATGCTCACCTACAACATTGTAAGATATGCTCACCTACAACATTGTAAGATATGCTAAGCTACAACATTGTAAGATATGCTCACCTACAACATTGTAAGCTCACCTACAACATTGTAAGATATGCTCACCTACAACATTGTAAGATATGGTCAGCTACAACATTGTAAGATATGCTAAGCTACAACATTGTAAGATATGCTCACCTACAACATTGTAAGATATGCTCAGCTACAACATTGTAAGCTCACCTACAACATTGTAAGATATGCTCACCTACAACATTGTAAGATATGCTCAGCTACAACATTGTAAGATATGCTCACCTACAACATTGTAAGATATGCTAAGCTACAACATTGTAAGCTCACCTACAACATTGTAAGATTTGCTCACCTACAACATTGTAAGATATGCTCACCTACAACATTGTAAGATATGCTCAGCTACAACATTGTAAGATATGCTCACCTACAACATTGTAAGATATGCTAAGCTACAACATTGTAAGATATGCTCACCTACAACATTGTAAGATATGCTCACCTACAACATTGTAAGATATGGTCAGCTACAACATTGTAAGATATGCTAAGCTACAACATTGTAAGATATGCTCACCTACAACATTGTAAGATATGCTCATCTACAACATTGTAAGATATGCTCACCTACAACATTGTAAGATATGCTCACCTACAACATTGTAAGATATGCTCAGCTACAACATTGTAAGATATGCTCAACTACAACATTGTAAGATATGCTCACCTACAACATTGTAAGATATGCTCACCTACAACATTGTAAGATATGCTCAACTACAACATTGTAAGATATGCTAAGCTACAACATTGTAAGATTTGCTCACCTACAACATTGTAAGATATGCTCAGCTACAACATTGTAAGATTTGCTCACCTACAACATTGTAAGATATGCTCACCTACAACATTGTAAGATATGCTCAACTACAACATTGTAAGATATGCTCAGCTACAACATTGTAAGATATGCTCAGCTACAACATTGTAAGATTTGCTCAACTACAACATTGTAAGATATGCTCACCTACAACATTGTAAGATATGCTCAACTACAACATTGTAAGATATGCTCAGCTACAACATTGTAAGATATGCTAAGCTACAACATTGTAAGATATGCTCAGCTACAACATTGTAAGATTTGCTCACCTACACCATTGTAAGATATGCTCACCTACAACATTGTAAGATATACTCACCTACCACATTTTAAGCTCACCTACAACATTGTAAGATATGCTCAGCTACAACATTGTAAGATATGCTAAGCTACAACATTGTAAGATATGCTCACCTACAACATTGTAAGATATGCTAAGCTACATCATTGTAAGATATGCTAAGCTACAACATTGTAAGATATGCTCACCTACAACATTGTAAGATATGCTAAGCTACATCATTGTAAGATATGCTAAGCTACAACATTGTAAGATAAGCTCACCTACAACATTGTAAGATATGCTCACCTACAAAATTGTAAGAAATCTCTGACAGCATGCATTTCGTGAAAATTTTCTTTTTAATCCATTTTATAATTTAGCATTATTATGATAATTAATTTATATATAATGGCAACTCGCTCATTTTTCACATTTCATCGCCATCTGTTATACTTTGGAAGTCAGAAATACATATTACATATTGTCAAACGTGTGATATGTTCTATTAATGCTTGCTATATGTGTACTTGTCTTATGACACTTGTCTTTCTGTATGCCATAAGCTTCTTGTTAACTGATGTTACAGATTTTGACATTGCGTTAGTTCCTTGCAAGCTGATGTTACAGATTTTGACTTTGTTGTTAGTTTCTTGCTAGCTGATGTTACAGATTTTAACATTGCTGTTATTTCCTTGCTAGCTGATGTTACAGATTTTAACATTGCTGTTATTTCCTTGCTAGCTGATGTTACATATTTTGACACTGTTAGTTTCTTGCTAACCAAACCAACTAAAACTGTACCTTTCAAAAAGCCAGAGTATGGTGACGTCAGCGCTAGAAAACAACTGAGAAAGTCCCTGGAGTGTAAGGATTTCTTCTGGTACCTTCGCAACGTGTTTCCAGAGCTGAAGAAAGACATGGACGTCAAAAGCATTTACTCAGGGGAGGTAACCATGTTTGTCTGACACATGAGTAATGAATTTGGTCAACAACAGGGTTTCTTTCGGACATTTTCCTCCGGGGGGGGGGTACCTGAAACCTCCTGTAGGGTGGACAATGGTTAAACAAAATATTTTCTATATATGTTTAATACTTTTTTTCTTTATCGTTCCCCGGGGAGAGAAGGTTGAAGGGTTCGGATGGGAGGGGTAGGGGGGTCAGTGCCGCCGTTCCCCCACAGAGATGCCTGAAAGAAACAGGTGAACTAGCAAGATGTATAGACGTGGATCTAATAACTGTAGCTCTGGCTAGACTACAACACAAAAATTCTGTATAGGACCTACATAAAGAATGCTACAAATAGTCACTAATGAGTCAATTATTAGGATTTGTGTTTGAGGAAGCTAAATGTTAAGTTTCTTTTTGTTTCGTGTGACGTTAGAAATATCACACTATTCGTAATACATTGAAACCTTGTTTTACGGTTGTTGAAATATCACACCATTTGTTATACATTGAAACCTTGTTTTACGATCGTTAAATACAACATCACGTGACACCTGTGAACTTTGTGTTACACCTGTTTGACTATGGCATGTGTTACACTTGTTGTTTAACTATGCCATGTGTTACACCTGTTGTTTAACTACGGCATGTGTTACACCTGTTGTTTAACTATGCCATGTGTTACACCTGTTGTTTAACTACGGCATGTGTTACACCTGTTGTTTAACTATGCCATGTGTTACACCTGTTGTTTAACTACGGCATGTGTTACACCTGTTGTTTAACTACGGCATGTGTTACACCTGTTGTTTAACTATGCCATGTGTTACACCTGTTGTTTAACTACGGCATGTGTTACACCTGTTGTTTAACTATGCCATGTGTTACACCTGTTGTTTAACTACGGCATGTGTTACACCTGTTGTTTAACTACGGCATGTGTTACACCTGTTGTTTAACTATGCCATGTGTTACACCTGTTGTTTAACTATGCCATGTGTTACACCTGTTGTTTAACTACGGCATGTGTTACACCTGTTGTTTAACTACGGCATGTGTTACACCTGTTGTTTAACTACGGCATGTGTTACACCTGTTGTTTAACTACGGCATGTGTTACACCTGTTGTGTTACACCTGTTGTTTGACTATGGCGTGTGTTACACCTGTTGTTTGACTATGGCACCATGTACTTCCACCAGGTGAGGAACTATGCTGTCAATGCATGTCTGAACCGCCTGAGAGAGTCTGGCATAGGACTAGAAACCTGCAGACATACATCCATATTCCAGGTGAGATATGCACATTTTACCTGTAGAGTAGCTTTGGTTTTAAAAACTGACATTGTTGAGTAACTTTCAAAACTGACATTTTTGAGTAACTTTAAAAACTGACATTTTTGAGTAACTTTAAAAACTGACATTGTTGAGTAACTTTAAAAACTGACATTTTTGAGTAACTTTAAAAACTGACATTGTTGAGTAACTTTAAAAACTGACATTGTTGAGTAACTTTAAAAACTGACATTGTTGAGTAACCTTTTGTTGTTTATTTTTTAATTATTCGTCCGTAGAATGGAAGAATCTGAAAGAATATTGCCACTGTTCAGTATGTTTGTGCCCACAGTAGCCTTTGTGTGGTAGCTCAAAACCTAATGCTAACATTTATAATTTTACTAGCCGTCCCGGCCAGGCCCTGCTCTGGCTTCTGTGAAAAACCTTTCTGTTAAAGACCATTACCTGTGTGTTTAGTAATCATCATAAACCCGGCATTGCCCACCCAAACCACAACCAACCAAAACAACAAAACGCAAACATAACGCTAACACAATTACAAATACAAACGAAAACAAAAACCTAACAACAAACCCAACCACAACCACAAACACCAATACAAACACAAAGAAAAAAACAAACAAAAAAGCAAACGAAAACAAAAACCTAACAAAAAACCCAACCACAAACACCAATACCAACAAAAAAAAACAACAAAAAAGCAAACGAAAACAAACCAAATCCAAACGCAAAACCAACCAAAAACACAAATACAAACCCAAACAAAAAAACACAAACAAAAACGAAAAAAGAAAGAACAAAAACGAACCAAATCAAAACGCAACCACTAACGCAAACCCACCTAAACACAAAGAAAACACTAACGCGAACATAAACGCCCGGGGCGGAATCACCTGTTTTAGCTTAATGAACGACTATAGTACCCCAACTTATTCATAGTCTTTTGCACTCACTTAAACGAACGCGCCTGTTTCAATTTGATAAACAATTATAATACTCCAAGCTTATCCGTAAAATACCTACAACATTTGCACTTGATCAATCCCCGCTAATTATGTAATTTTTTTTTTCCCAACACCAAAACAAAGTAATTAAAAAGTAAATTCTTTTCCACAAAATGCAATGGTTTTATAAAGGGAAGTAATTGTGTTTTCCTAATTTATCAAAGGGAAGTAAGTGCTATAGGACTAAATAAAGACATAATTAGAATTGTTGTAAAAGATGATATTTTTTTAAAACTTGTGTTTAATGAACATGCCGACAATTAATACTATAATTTGAAAAATGAAAATTATTTCCCAACACTTTCAATAGTAATTTTTTAACTCATAAATTTAGACAAATGCGCACGATAATTGTCTAACACTTAAATCCATCCAAGACCAACGACAAACATATGCGTTACATACAGAACTGAGCTTTATATATTAGATATTCATATGCTTACCATACAAATGCTATTAATTTGATTACGTCATCAATATTATTTTACCCCCAAACACACGGTGTAGCATGAAATAATAACCTTTATTTTTCAACATCTAGCAATGGCGGCATCAATATAATTTTACCCACACACACACACGGTGTAGCATGAAATAATAACCTTTACATTTCAACATCTAGCAATGGCGGCATCAATATTATTTACCCCCACACACGGTGTAGCATGAAATAATAATAACCTTTATATTTCAACATCTAGCAATGGCGACATCAATATATTGAATATAATTTTACCCACACACACGGTGTAGCATGAAATAATAACCTTTATATCTCAACATCTAGCAATGGCGTCAACAATATATTTTTACCCACACACTCGGTGTAGCATGAAATAATAACCTTTATACTTCAACATCTAGCAATGGCGGCATCAATATTATTTTACCCACACACGGTGTAGCATGAAATAATAACCGTTATATTTCAACATCTAGCAATGGCGGCATCAATATTATTTTACCCACATACGGTGTAGCATGAAATAATAACCGTTATATTTCAACATCTAGCAATGACGGCCAGTGTTTCTTCCAGACTTTTTTCTCCGGGGGGGCACTTGAAATCTTCGGGGGGGGGCGGTAAACTTTCTTCGGGGGGGCGGACACTGTTAAAAGTATATATTTTCTATATAAATTATATAAATTTCATTTCGTTCGGGGGGCGGTAAAAAATTTTCGGGGGGCTTCGCCCCCCCCCCCCCCCCGAAGAGATGCCTTGAAGAAACTCTGATGACGGCATCAATATAATTTTACCCCCACACACGGTGTAGCATGAAATAATAACCGTTATATTTCAACATCTAGCAATGGCGGCATCAATATAATTTTACCCCCACACACGGTGTAGCATGAAATAATAACCGTTATATTTCAACATCTAGCAATGGCGGCATCAATATTATTTTACCCACACACACGGTGTGCCATGAAATAATAACCGTTATATTTCAACATCTAGCAATGGCGGCATCAATATTATTTTACCCACACACACGGTGTGCCATGAAATAATAACCGTTATATTTCAACATCTAGCAATGGCGGCATCAATATAATTTTACCCACACACACGGTGTGCCATGAAATAATAACCGTTATATTTCAACATCTAGCAATGGCGGCTAACATCAGACGGACGCCTGGCCTCCGGCGACATGCTCATTGGCATCAAGACTGAGAACAAGAACGGTGCCGATAGACAGACCCTGGGCACGTTTAAACTTGACCAGCACGCCAGCGGTATCATTGCTATCCTCTGGACCTACGACAAAGTATGTGTGGTCTTAGAATAAGACGTTTTAGATCAATATAAGTGAATTAAATGTACGTTAAGAACACATGTAAACATTGATGTGGATTATGAAAAAAAGTACTGTACTAAGTACAATTAACAGAAAGGAATAGGCTTACATGTAGCCTATATTAAATTGTATTGTATTGTTCCTCTATTGACGTAACGATCCATTGGGCAGATGATGTCGACTTTTTTTTGGCATATGAAGGGATGGTGTAGCCAACAATGCCCAGCCGCCTTTACTTTCCCCAACGTTGGTTAGGTACTCATCAGAGCTGGGTGGACTCAGTCCACAAGTCCAAACGCTCTACCATTTAACCACACTGTCCCTCTTAAATTTTATGCTCGCTTATTTTTTAAATGCTTATACAATTATTTTTGAATAGATCTTACCTTGACCGTCACACGACTGTGCTCATGACCTGTGTTTCAGGACCAGCGTATCGTGAACCAGAAGACGGGCCAGTGCTTGCAGGCTGACCCGCTCCTCAAGAGTGTCATGCTGGCCCAGTGCTCCACCCAGACCAACAAACAGAAGTGGATCTTCACCACAAGGAAGGAGAGACAGAAATTCCTGAGGGAGCACGTCTCCATTGACTGGAGCATGTGATGCGGGAACTAGACACCTCGCGTTCTTGACGTCATACGGCGCGAGAACTAGGCTTCACACGTACATGACGTCATACGGATGTGGAGTGTGTGACGCGATAACTAGACACCACAGGTTCTTGACGTCATACAAATGTGGAGACTATGACACGAGAACCAGGCACCACACGTACATGACGTCATACGGATATGGAACGTATGACGTGAGAACTAGGCTCCACATGTATATGACGTCATACGGATGTGAAGCGTATCCGCGAGAAAAGGGCTCCAAACGTTCCTGCCGTCATACGGATGTGTACATGCTTCAGTCGCCAGATAAAGTGTCTAGTCCTATAATTCATTTAGAATCCAAAGACTTCATGTTTGTTTTGAAAATATGCATCTGTTGTATACTGATGACATCGTATGCATATACAACACAAAATGGGTGGTAGTTGATCATTTTGTTTAGCCTAATTGTGTTATAGGATTGTGTTATAAGATTGTTTAAAAAGTAATGTTGTATAACAATGCCTTTGATATTCTTTACTTTCATTTTTACAAGTTGTACAAGCATTTACTTAACTCTAGTCCGTGCATTTATCTTTCGTGGTTCGTACGTCATGATTCGGAGCGTGCTAACGAAATCTCCACCATTTCCAACGAACCGATTTCTTTCAAACTTGACACTAAGTCAAGACCTGGGGGCAGTGCAATAAGTCATGCCTTCGCCTAATTAGTTGTTTAATCAATTTGCTTTTATTTAATTAGTTTGCTATGCAGAGAGTTATCTTTCCGCGCTATTACAATATAATGACACACATTCTGCTCTGTGCGTTCAGATGGTGCTCGCGTGGTCATGCTTTGATTCTCTTCTAACAACTAAATAAATAAATAAAACGTTTGCAGTAACGGGCTTTTATTTAATGACTATTAATAAGAAAATAAAATGACTTTCCTTAAATCTAATATTAGTAACAATGCATTTTTTTAGCAAAAAAAAAAAAAATAGCGCGGGTCATATATGGAATTGAACAATTATGGACAATAGGCACATCTCTAAATATAAATACGCTTACAAAAGAGAATCGCGCACAACTGGTAATAAAATAGTGTTAAATGTGGATAGTATTAAAAACATTTACAACTGAATACCTGTATACTAAAATTGTATATTTACAGTTGTATAATAAGGTCTATTGTGAAATTTAAAGAAAATCATTTATTTTCTTCTTTTAATGCAAAAATAAAAACTTTTTGCTATTAACGTTTTTGAATATTTATTATTTTCCACTTTAAAAATGGACGCAAGTGGCGTGCGTATCTTTAATGATAATTAACAAAATAAGACACCTGTAATCAATGGAAATGTAATATTAAGTTCTTCATTTGTGACCTTTTTCCTGTGACTTCTTTTCCTTTGACTTTTTTCTGTTGTTTTTTTTTTTTTTCCTGTGACTTTTTTTCCTACAATCGTGGTTGCAAGTTGTTGTTTTTCATTACATAGTACTGTATTATAGCCGCCGTCATTTTTTTTCTTTACTGCTGTCCTGTGTTTGTTTCGTTTATATCATGGGTTCCCAAACTGGGGATCGCAACCACCAAGCTTGGGGGTCGCGAAGGGCTTTCTGGGGCGGTCGCCAACTGGTAGACTAAACCCTAGCAATGAAAAAAAAACATAAATATTTAGAAAAATATCTGAAATTCGTCTTTACTAAAATCACAGAAAATGAAATAGATATATTTTAATATATTATAAACAATGTGTACTGTGCAAAGTTTTTCTTAGTCATGAGTCTATAAAACCTTCAAAACTAAAACGTCATTTTGAGACGAGTCATTCGAAATACACGAAAAAAGATAGGGTGTTCTCTCGTCGGCATGAAGTTAGTTGCAAATGTCAAAGACCTGATCAAACAGGAAGTTTTCACCAAACAAACAGAGCATTAGTGAAAGTATCATATGAAATTTCCAAGCAAACTACCTCTCACACAATAGGAGAAAATATCATCAAACCCTGCATGTTGAGGATGGTGAAATTAATTCTTGGGGGTTCGAATGCAGTAAAGATGCAACAAATATCTCTGTCTAATAATACTATTTAGCGGCTTATAGCAGACATGTCCGTAGATGTTAAAGAACAAATTTTGAATGAAAACTAGCTATCACGATTGTTTGATTTTCAGGCAGTTGCTTGTCTTTGTGAAATTTATTAATTCAGATAATAGCAAAGAAGAGTTTATGTTTTGTGAAGATATCATGGAGAAAATAAATACGTCTTTTGAAACTGGATGATTAAAATGAGAAAACGGCTGTGGGGTTTGTACGGATGGTGCGTCATGTTTGGCTCAAACTCAGATTTTCAGAAAACGGTAAAAGATTTAGCTCCCTTACCAAGGGGAATCCACTGCATGATTCACCGGTATGCCATCGACAGCAAGACTTATCCGACTCCATTGCTAATAAAAGTCGTAAATTATATTAAATCTGGAGCCCGTCTGTTTCAAGAACTGTGCAAAGACATAAATAAAGATCATGAGGTTCTACACTACAGTACGCTGGCTGTCAAACGAAATGTTGTGAATCGTGTTTTTGAATTGAAAGATGAAATCAAGTTGTTCTTGGTAATGCAAAGAATGGTTGGAGAGAGTATCATACCTAGCAGATATATTTGAGCATCAACATAAGCTAAATCTGAAAATGAACGAACAATATCTCTTTTCATGATAATCTCTTGGCATTTTTATTAAAGCTGCAAAATTGGCGAAGAAAAATATATATTTGAAATATTGCCATGTTGGAGAAACTCTGCAGTGTGGTAGATGAATCTGATAGTGTGATAAATAAAAAAATTGAAAAAGGATTCTGGGCATCTTGAATCTCTTGAAAACAAACTGCGGCGTTATTTTCCCAGAGCGGAAAGAAGAAGAATCTGCATTGTCACGTAACACGTTCTCTGCGTCCCTTGATGTTGCCAGCGTTCCCGATGAATTACAAGAAGAATTCTTAAATTAGCGAAATGATTCCGCGTTACGTATCGCGTTAAATGAAAAACTGCTCAAACAATTTTGGTGTAGTATGCACCATTCATACACAAACGTGACATATATTGCCTTTCGAGCTTTATTTCCTTTTGTGTCTACATATTATCTTTGCAGGAATAGATTTTCGACACGTCTCCAATTAAATAAACCGGGAGTGATCTCCCCTAAACTTTCTCGAATATTCTAATATAACACCACGGGGAATGGCAACTCGGGACATAGACAATATTTTTAATCCCTTTTTAATTACTTAAACTTTTTATAATAGAATAGAATCTCGTAAAAAAAAAGCATTGCACACCAAGTAAACGCCAAATAAAATGTGCATAATAGTGCGGGATACTATTAGTATTTTATAAATTGACATGCGTTTTTTTTTTTTTTTTTTTTGAGAAATCGGAAATAGCGAAAATCACTACTTTCGGTCGACGGAAATTACTCAAAATTTGAAAGAAGGCAGACAATTAGAATTTTTACTTACATGTGAAATTTCATTTATCTAACTCAAATAGTACTCAAGTTATAGGCTGTTGAAAAATTCAAAGTAGAAAAAGTTTCACATCCGGAAATCGCTCAAAAGTTTACACGGATCCACGATTTTGATATAATACTTATATATGAAATTTCATCAACCTAGCTGTAACGGTACTCATGTTATCGTGTTTACACACACACACACACACACAGACACACACACAGACACGCAGACGTACGGACAAGATTGCAAAACTGTTTTTCCGACTCAGGGAGCCTTAAACCGTCGAGATTTGCAAAAAAGTCAAACGTAGATCTAAAATCTAGAATCTAGGTCAAGCCAAAATTAATTAGTTAAAAATAAAAACCATTTTAAAATCACACTAAATTATTGAGTTTCTTCATTAAACTATGTTTGGGTCTCTTCCTAAACATTAGTAAAGGTATCCAATAGGTACTAAAGTGAATCACGCCTTTCTTTAAAACTATTTAAATAGTAGTCTATAATTTATTTTCTACTTTTTAGTGCATTAGTACATAAAAGCTCGTTATTAAATGTTTTTTATGAAATTTTTTAATATGGTACTAAATGACCTGGCGCAGGCACTGAGTACGGATGACACTATTTAGGGGGTGACAACCAGAGTTTCTCCCAGGCATCTCTTCAAAGCCCCCCCCTCCCTCCCCACCCGGACCAGATGGAATTTATATAGTAAACATACAGTTTTACTAGTGACCGCCCCCCGAAAAACGTTGACCCCCCCCCCCCCAAAAATATCAAGTGCTCCCCCCCCCTTCCCCCCCCCCCCCCAGCCGCCACGGAGAAAAAAGTCTGGAAGAAACACTGGTGACAACACGGCTAAAATGGTAAAATTTACTTACAAAACAATGTTTTGATAAGACTAAAATATAGTCTTTTTGAAGGTACCGAACGCCAACAGTTTCATGAGCGCATTCACCGAAACCTTCTTAATAGTTCTAACGTCCGCACCGACAAATCCGATCGTGAATCATAGCAGCCGGGTGTGTGTCCTTGCACTCCGTCGAACCCTTGAGACTGGTCTCGTCACCAAACCCCTGGTGTTCGATAGAACCAGGTTAAGCAGAGTTTCTTCCAAGCATCTCTTTACCGCCCCCCGAACGAAATGAAATTTATATAATTTATATAGAAAATATATACTTTTAACAGTGTCCGCCCCCCCCCGAAGAAAGTCTACCGCCCCCCCCCCCCCCCGAAAATTTCAAGTGCCCCCCCCCCCCCCCCCGGAGAAAAAAGTCTGGAAGAAACACTGAGGTTAAGACAGAATCACAATCACTGTTCAGTGTAGACCCCCCATCCCCCACCCCCGCTCCCCGAAAGATTTAGGCTGTATACGTGCTTAGACCCCCCCCTCCTCCCCCCCCCCCCCTGAAAGAAAGGAAGAAACTCTGCTAGTCTATCATATAGCGATAGATCTATATCTAGCTAGGTTCTAAATAAAGAAAAGATCTAGAATCTAAATACTAGTTTTATATCTAAATCTTGATCTAGAATCTAGTTTATTGTAAACAGATCTTTTTTCAAAGAAGATAGAAATTGTTTTTCGTTGGCTAGGAGTTCGCCTAGGCCTCGTTTGAAACTACAAATTTCAGTTATTTTTACTGTAATGATTTATCATCAATACGCTCACGTATCCCTAATACTGCCTAATAGTAATAGTAATAGATCTAGAATCTAGTTAGTCACCTATAGTCTAGATCTAGTAGGATGGTTAAATTTTAGAGTAAGTCAAAAAATATTATTAACGTCTGATTTTTTTTTTTTCAAAACTCAACTCAACTGTCTTGTTGATCCTCTAGAATCTAAGAGTAAGAGTATTCTAAGACAATATGAATATATATAAATATAAGAGAGTCTACTCTAAGTCTAAGACTAATCTAGATTCTACATTCTCTGGATAGTTTTAAATTTTAAATAGAGTCTATCTAGTTTTAATTTTAATATTTGGATGATATTTTTTTTATTGAATTTAAGTAATTTAGGCAGGATCTAGTCTAGATCTAGGATCTAGATTCCTAATTTACAAATGAACTGCTCCTAAAAATCTATAGTAGGCCTAACTAATTTTTTTACCTATCTAGCTAGATCTATCTTAAATTTCCAGCAGGGCCTAGATCTAGCAAGAGTGAGTAATTGTCACTGAGACAAAATGTATTAAATTACAAATTTAAGTGCTGAAGAAATTAGTGGATTTTGCAATCTTATTTAAGTAGGCTGATTAATTATTATAATGCCTAAATTAAATATGTTTGCGCTTACAAGGATGCATGATTTTTGTTTTCTTGTGCAAGCAAAGAGACCTTAAGTAATAAGTAAACATATGGGCCAGAATCTCTTATCATAAAGTGACAGTTCAGATAATAAAACTTTTGATATTTATTTTTGATACACTTTTTTTAAAAAAATGTATTATTTACCATTAGCCATGCTTTCTATTGTCAGGTAAAAAATGGATGACCATTTTGATAACCTTGATGTGCCAGAGGACTGGCTGGAAACAGGAAGCAAGCGAAAATCATCTCATTATGTTGATGATTCACCATCCAAAAAAACGAAGCTACATGCATCTGAGAATAATAACAACAGTATTGCTCACTGCTCTAAACATTGTGTTGAGAGCGATAAACTTTTGAACGATTCAGGAAAATCAAATCATCTTCCTTCCTCACCAACTCTCACTGGAACATTTGAAGATGAATCACTTAATCAACCTGAGAATTTGTTTGATGTTGATACTAGTCAGTCTACTTTAGAGCTGTCAAATGCAGAAGACTTGTATGAGAATACCTATTCAGGAAAAGTTGTGTCTAACACAAACATTTTAGAAGATTCTAAATTATGTGTGGTTTCAGAATACCCTAAATACTGTTCCAACGTCTTTAAACCAATACAAAATGAAGTTAGCTCTGTACCAACAGATGTCTTTACCATTGATACAGATAAAAAGAACAACATTCCTGACAATGTTAAAGGTGATGTTGCAGCCCCATTGGCCTCAGTCTCGGGTGATCTTATTGCTGATGTTCAGCTTGTTTTAGCTGCCGTTCCTTCAGCTGATGCCAATGAAGTTTTTGCACTGCTAGAGTCTTTGCCTTCATCAAGTGATAGAGTGAATGCTGTTGTTGATAACTTGAAACAATCTGCTGAAAATATTGGTGGCTCAAAACCAGTTTTGGTGAAGAGAGAGAGTTCCACTTCAATTTTAGATGATCCCTTATTAAAAGATGATCTTTTATTTCGTGATATGAGGAGTATTGCCAAAATATTTCCAGATAAAGATAGGAACGAGATCTATGCAATGCTTGAAGTCCATTTTAATAAACCAAACAGGATCCAGCTGGTGACCAATGAAATCATTTCTGCTGAAAACAACACCAGGGAAGAAGTCCCAGTGAAAGGTCAGCTTTAATTCTTAGTGTCCTTATAATGAAACAAGAGTGAGGGGAAGTATGTTTTAAATCTAGAGAATTTTTTTCTAAGAATGTAAAGTATACTTGTAAAGCAAATCAATATCATATCAAATATATTATGTCTTACTGTTAGTGCTTGAGTTTAGGTATCAAAATTTGCTTAAAAAAGATTAAACCTGCCCAGCATTCTTGGAAGTACCAATTAGTGCTGGAACCTAATAGTTCTTAAAATACTATAATATTTGTTAAATCTCTTGCCAGATGTGCTGACCCAAGATGTTGAGAGGATGAGAGTTATCTTCCCTGACTGTGACCCCAACTATTTGTTTGAGACTCTGGAGTCTATGAAAGATCAACCTGATAGGATTGACATTTTGGCCACTAAGATGTTTGAAAATAAAAACTATCCTAAATTATCAGAACAAATGTATCAAAAGAAGCATGAACCACAGATACCAAATCCAACCATTGAAGAGTTCCTCAAAATATTTCCTGAACCACTAGACACATTTTCAAAAACAGATAAAGAGGTTTCTTTTCTTTACAGACAGCATGCACAGATATATTTAAATAATCAGTTTCGAACTCTAAGTGCCACTTTTATGAAGTCTGAATTACAGAAAAACCAACACCATTTATATCCTACATATAAAACTCTATCTGATGTCTTAATTTCTACACCTTTAGGTATTGTATACCAATCAATTTGTTATGACTATTTTCATTTCAATATCAACATTTCTTTGTGTTGTTCTTAAGCATTAAATGGTTTTTGAATAGTGGGTTTATTTATGAGTAGTTAGTATGGTTTATGTTGTATATTTAATTATGTCTTTGAATGAATAGAATCAAAGTTAGGATAAGAGGAAATCATATTTATTGCTAATACAGTAATTTATTTATTTTCTAGAGAAACAGAGATTTTCAAATAAATTTAACAGAAATAAGAGAAAAGGACATGCTTTTCCAGCAGAAATAGATGAATATTTCTACTATGAAAAATGGTTTATTGAAAATGAGCTGGATGTATTAGGTAATTATTTATACTTTATATCATTTCTAAAACTAGATATCTGCATTCATTAGATGTTTAAATCATATCTTTATTCTTGGACCAGAGGAATGTTAACTATTTTTGTAGATTAAGAGATAAAAACTGTTTTTTTCAAAACCTATTGTTGATGTTGCTTTAATAATAGTGTTCATGTTTTAATCAGTTAGATGATATGTTTCATTAGTAGATTTTTTTCTTAGAATTTCCAAAAAAGAAAGAGCAAGAGAGGCAAGAGAAGCTAGAGCGGGCTAAACTTAGGGGAGAAACATACGAATGCTGTTGTTGCTATGACGACTGCCTGTTTGAGGAGCTGACCAGCTGCCCAGATGGTCATTTGTTCTGTAAAACATGTGTCATCAAGTATGTAGAGTCAGCGTTTGGAGAAATGAAAACAACGTAAGCCAGGCCACTGCTGGGTGTCACATCTTTGTACTGGTTTAGTCACTATTTGTTTCTCACTGTGGCTTTGTGTTGTCCCCACTTGCCCAGCACTAAAGTTAATCTTGTCCTACCTGCCCACCACTGAAATTTGTGTTGTCCCTACTTGGCCACCACTTAAGTTTGTTTCTTCCCAACAGGTTTCAATGTTTGACTGGCTTCTGCGATCAAAACATTACACTGAACACCCTACAGTCAATTATACCAGCCAACTTGTTCTCCAAGATAGTTCGCAGAATCCAGGAAGAGGAAGTGTTGCAGGCCAATCTTCCAGATCTTGTCATTTGCCCTTTTTGTCCCTTTGCTACAGTCATGCCAAATTATGAAGACAAGATTTTAAAATGTTTAAACCCTGATTGTTTAAAAGAATCTTGTAGGTAAGGACTAACTGATGAAAGCTGTTCATGCTGCTTTCTATGTTTGGTTTGTGGTGTTTTAAAAATGTGGAAAAGATCTCTGTCATTTATAGCTGTTCACAAAAATTGCACATCTTTAAATTAATAACAGCTAAGAAGAATTATTGTTGTATTGTATCCATGTGTAAACTGACATCTAATTGTGTGAACTGGTGGTGTTGTTTGTAGGCTGTGTAAAGAGCCCAACCACATACCACTAAGATGTGAAGAGGTCGAGAAGAGACCGGAAACAGCTATGCGCACTTACATAGAAAACATGATATCTGAAGCTGTTATGAGAAAGTGCCACAAATGTGGGAAGAGATTTGTGAAAGACACAGGCTGTAACAAGATGACCTGCGTCTGCAAGGCCACAAGCTGTTACTGTTGTAAAGCGAAGGACATTGATTACTCACACTTTGAACATAATGCTAGGTAAGTTTGACTGCTTCATATAAAGCATATGTGACCATTGTGAAGTTTATTTCAGTCTACATGTGTAACTGATAGTGAATTTCTTTCCTCTAAGCCTTCTTTAATTCTGTCCATTGCATAACATTTCATTATCGCTAACACCCTTACTCATTTTCTGATGATAACTATTTCTCCTCATCTTTCCCCTCACCCTCCTCGCCCCACCACCACCACACATACAGGTGTGCAAATGAAAATGCTGAGAAAATCCATCTGCGTGACATGGAGGAAGCTGCCATTGCAGCAAAAAGACAATACCTGATTGACCATCCAGAAGCTGCAAACATTGCCCTCAAGTCCGATGTGAAAGATATGATCAAAGACTGTAAGGAGACAGATTTCATTTTCAATGGTTAATCTTTTTGTTTAGAGTTACAAGTAGATAACACTTAATTAGTGGTTTTACTAAAGTATTATTAAATCATTCTTTTTCAGACAAGGAAACCAGGAAGACCAGGAAGTAGGTCTAACTGTATGTAGTGGCATGTTATTTTGCAACCAATTTCTCTCCATTGTCATACATCCAAGCCATTTTAAAAACTCACAGCTGATTCATTTATTTTTACTGACTTTAAAAAACTACAATACAGGTTAGCAAACTTAAAATCATCATATAACAAACTTCCTACGTATTTATATACGTATTCATCAATGTGGTCATCATTTTTTAAGTTTGATTTTCAACATTGCACCTCCTGAATAGGATAGTTTATGTAGGGGAGGGGGAATTCATTCAAATTATCACTCAAGTGTAATCATAGTTAGGTGTTGCTATTCTAGATAATCACCACATTAACTATTCTTGAGATTTTGTGATTTATGATGGCTTGCCAAATAACCTTTTTCCATATTTTTTTTTACCTAAAATTTGATAAACAACAATAATTATTGTTACCCAGTGCTCAAAACTAGCAACAAAACAGGCAGCTGAAGTTTGTTAGCCAACTGGAATTATTTTTTGGTTTCCACCTGGCTGCTCTCAAAAAGCAGTACTAGCTCTATCTGTACTCAAAAAAACTCAAAAAACAAGAACATGACAATAACAGCTGCGGCAGAATATAAGTAACAATAGAAACAGTGTTAGTGGTCTTTGAAATTCAAGAAAATTCTGTATTTTTTAAAGGTATATAATTCAAAAGTGTTCTTATAAATAACATTACAGCTGTTTGGGATGAGGATACTTATTCTGATTAGTTAAGTAAAGAATTTGGTTAAAGCTTAGTTCCTGTTTGAATGTGTGCGTATGTCTAATTTGGGAAATTTGGACTGGAATATTGGACTTCACAAAAACAGTCCACCTATTTTGTCTGTGTTAAAATCAAGAGGAGCATTCAAAATCAATAGTCCATTCTTCAAACTCAAATTCTTGTCTTTAAATTTGATCAATAGACTAACTATATCTTTAAATACTTTTGAGTAGAAAAAAATGACACAAATCCACCAAGACATGAATAAATAATACAAGTTATTTGTTGCATTTACATCATTCATCCAAGTCTTTTGAGGGAGTTAGATGTAAACCGAGGCATTAGCACATAAGTCTGCCTTCAGTTGGAAGTAATTTCAGCTGTTATGTTGGTAACTTACGGGTTGGTTTATGGTGTGTTTATAACACACTCACACATACACACATAGCCTAAATTAGCATTGAAGGTGTAGCTCTTGAAATAGTTGAAATACCTTGTCAGTAATCATCTTGACCCAAATTATCTTAGCTGCAGAATCTAGAAGACATGTTGAAGATGATGTAGTAAGAGCAAAACTGAATCATTTGTGGATATATTCCTAGGCATCCAAAAGAGCTCTGTGCTTACAAATTTCAAATCAGTAATACTTAGCTATTGTTTGTAGTGCAGCGGTTTCCAAACATTTTGTTGTTGCCCCCCCTGAATGACCAAAGATTCATATACACAAGTATATTTTGTATATGCTACTATATTATATGTGATATGTAAATATATATATATATATACATATTATATATAAAATGTATATACTTTATTTTTATTACAATTAAATATATGCACATTTTATAAATACTTTTGTTTTCAATGTGACTGATGTGCTAGTTTATTTGCGCAAATTGTATCAAATCTTGGTGTCATTTAGGAGAGTGCTACTTGCGCTGCTTTTTCTGTTAATAAGCTGGCTGGTTATGTGGATTTTAATGCAACAAAATGAGAAAAGCCTGTTTTCTGTAAGTATGATGTTACAACTGGAAGCAGTATTTGCGTCACTTTGTTTGGCAAAGTATAAAATTCTTTCTCAATTGTTGAAAATTCTAATTCTAAATTTTGTTCATACAACATCACAATACTGGATTTTGAAGCAACTTTTTACAAGCTTTTACTTAGATCACAATGCCTGACTGTCTTAAGTTGGAATTGTTGTAAAATTTTGTAACTTAATTTTGACTGACTTTTGATGTGATTTTGTTTAAACCTGCTTGATTTGTTTCCTATAATAACCGGTTAAGTATCAACACTGGTTTAGCCAGCTTATTTATGTTCTGATATTTTCTCACCTGAGTGTTGACCACAAATATTGTTAAGGGGCAGATATGGTTTTTTTTTTGTTCAGATGGTTACTGATCTTGTATTTAAGCAAATAATTTTGTTGACTAGTGGGTTCACTTAATTAACAGAATGGAAAGAATCAATATTGTGTCATACATATGAAAAATGGAGAGAAAAAAATATACTAGTTCTTATCAAAGTTTAAATGGACTGCAAAGGCTGTTGGTGGTAGACTGCATAAGAGTGGTGGTAAGGGGTGGGTGGTAGGCTGCATTAAAAATATATAATGGAGTGAACGACAACCAAAATTCTCCCTGAGGTTTAATTGGGAGCCATCAAGTGTGTAAGCTTAGACACAACGCATGTAAAGTCCATCCACAGCACCCGCCATGCTGATGAAGCCAGAGAGCTGCACCAAAGTCTGAATGATGCAACATCTTGCATTATTTTGTCGTTTGATTCTTTTCATTTATTTCTGTTCAATTTTTATGCTTCCCCTAGCACTGGTCAGTGCTTCCCTGTTTGGAAACCGCTGATTTAATGTTTCATTAATTAGTAAACAAATGAAAAAAAATTTAGCTCATAATTCTACTAATGATATTTTATAAAAACTATCTGTTAATATTTATTAATGGAAACGGCTGGAGAATTCATTATATTTTACAATATGATCCATGTTGGCTATTAATATTTGTATCGCCAATGGAACTGTCCTTTTCAATTGTTAATTTAGAAAATTCAACCATAATTCATATAAATTTAGCATTTATCTATTATATACCAGTACTCTAATACTATTAGTGCCACAGGCCCAAAATCACTAAATTTATTCATAAGTATTATTTTTAAATTCTAAAAACACTATATATAGAAAAATGTATATAAATATTAAAATATCACTTATGTTTATGAGTTTTTAGTAATAATGCAAAAACCATGCAAGTAATGAAAGCTTTTTTGTTGTTTTTTTATACAGAACTGGGTATAATAATTACCAGTATGATGAGGAGGATGATAGCGACGATGATGATGATGATGATGATAGCGAAAGTGATGACGAGGATGATGATGATGAAGATGATTTTTTTGACAATGATAGTGAGGAGGAGCATGATCATTACCAGTATGAAGATAGAGACATGGATGATGAGTTTGATTTTGTTCAGTACAATAATTATGTGGAAGTTAATAATGAGCAGTATACACATTTTTTTTATGATGATTTTGATGAAGAGTTCTAACCTAGTTAACTTAATTCCTTAATTAATATGCTCATATAATACTGGTACATCTTTTGTGCTCATCTACCCATAATTTTTTTATTTTTAGATATTTTTAATCCCAACTATTTTCAATTCTTTTTTTTTTTACTTATTTTTAAATCTTATAGTTGTTGAGAACATAAAACCATTGCTCAGTTTGATTGAAAATAAAAGTATATTTTGAGAAATGATACTCATCTTGTCAAACATTGAATAAAGTACACAACTAAACCTCAGGTCTCTGTTAAATGCTGTTACTGTTCATTTTACCATTTCCTCTTTCAAATTTATTGAATTTGCATTACATGAAATTTATTTGTTGTTAGGAAGAGTTACAGCAAGTCGTCGGTTTACATGCAGGGAAGAATAGATTGTGTGCCGCCAGTATTAGTTCTAGTAATGTGCAACGATATGCACTATATATTTTAGGCAAAAATTCAAATTAGCACCACTTTTAAAGGATTACCAATAAATGTTTTTATCAAATAGTGTACTTTGACAGTTAGACTTGGAGATCCCTAATGTAGTCAAGCACTAGTGTGCTGTGAGTTAGTGAAATTCAAACCATTTCAAACAGGACAACTTGTAGAATTTGTTATTATTTTTAAGGGATATACTTTTTTTTTAAATTATGCAATAATTAATTATGCATTTAAATTAGATACTCGTAGTTTTTTAATATTTCTTCTGTCCTTCATATAAGCCAAAGAATTGCTGGAAAAACATTTTTATCATATAAACCTTCCAATTTTTTTTTATCAAAAGAAATCAAAAGCATTTGTTGTCCATTGATTTCTGAAAACATTATTCATCTGAATTATTTTCTTAAATGTATAATTGATAACAATTGTGCATTTTGACTTGCCTTATGTAAATGGAAGTGATTTATAGATGATGATCATGTTGTTACTGTTGTGAGAATTTTTATTTGATGTTTTAAGTGGCATTTTCAAACATTGTTTTCTTATGCAATATTGTTACATTGTTATAATAATACCAGAATAAAAAGATGTTCAAACCAGCTGCTTTGAAATGTTTATTACAGAGTCAACTCATGGAAATCTTAATACAAACAAGGAGCAGGCCAACAAATGATGCACAGAAAAATACACTGTGTTGTTATATCATAGACCACGCATCATTCATGGTTATATCCAGATCTTATGTTCAAATTTATTTTTGTCACATGTAAATTGTCTTTCCTGTCTTCCATTTTATTTTATGAATAACACAGCTGCACATTAACTGTTAAATCACATTTTCTTAGGACCTGAAAATATCAATTTTTTGTTTATAGGATATGCATATAATGATTAAATCCAAATAGATTTTTTGGTAAAAAAGAACTTACCTATGTTTCATCGACTGCCATAACTGAAGCATACTCTTTGTACAAAATTATTTTCTTATCTGGGTCTACAGCAGCAGACAGCATTTCTTCCAATTCTTCTTGAGTAAATGGTTCTCCTAGTGGATTCATTAGAGTTGGATGTTTACAGGTAACTCATACTATAATAGTGTCTTACTGGGGTTAATTTTAAGACATTTTTCAGTAAAATTTATCAAACTTTTAGCAATTTCCGTTAATGACATACCTTCTTCTGTCATGAATTTTGTCAACTCCTCAGCTGTCAAATAACCTTTCATGTCAGCGTCCAGCACTTGGAAGGCTTTAAGTATCTGGTCCTCGGGTGAAGCTTTATACCTGTGTAGAGAAGTGGAACCAATAGTACAACACCAAGTATTGGATACAGCCAAAACATGAGCCCTAATGTTGTTGTCATAGGCCTCTAGTTCTGTGCTGTGTAGAGAAGTTGAACCAATAGTACAACACCAAGTATTGGATCCAGCCAAAACATTAGCCCTAATGCTGTTGCCATAGGCCTCTAGTTCTGTGCTGGTAGAAATTTAGCCTGATCAAGTCAATAGGTTATTTAATAGGTAAAAAAGGCAGGTTTGAGTACACTGTATGTAAATTACAAAATGTTCCTCATACAAATGTAAAAATACCAGTTTATAAAAAATTCTTTACAAAAATGAACTTAAAACCCCCTGGCAGTGAACCCCTCTTGTGTACTTTCAAAAAGCTATTACAATGTTTCTGGATAAAGAATGCTACCACATTTTTGTAATTTCAACTAAATGTTAGCTTCTTACATATTTTTACCTTCTTTCCATTAAAACTTTGGTCATCATAGGAAGAAATCTTTCAAATCGAATATACCCAGTTGGTTCCTCTTCTTCAATCTGGTAGGGGAAGATAGAATGCTTAAGCTTACAGTTGAAAACTCATTAGACAGATCATGAGACAATTATTTTGAATCCATTTTTTAAGAGAGCTGGTGATTACAAATGTATATTAAATTAAAAATATAAAAGAATTTACCTCTGCAAGCATGTCATGGATCTCAGCTTCACTGGGGCAGCAGTTGAGGGATCTTATGATGGTACTCACCTCCCTGTGAAAAACAGGTTGATTTGTCATATGTGCTAAAAAATTACTATTTCATTAATGATTAACTATCAAGACTTTAAATGAAAACGTGTTGTCTTAATACAATGTAGATGCAGACTTAGCAACTGATAAATTCAGTCATTAAAAAAAATAACTCAGTACTTAAAAATATTATATTTACCTTACATCAACTGTTTTATTTGATTCATGATCAAATATATCAAAGGCATCTGTTATTTTTTTCTGTATGTCTGCCACTAAAGAATCTAAAATAAATTCACTGATTTAAGAAAAATTTGGAATAATACAAATAAATATTCTGAGTTTTCCACAAGTAAAATGTAAGAGCTAATAAGATAAAAAAGCTTTGAAAATCAAGATGCAATGATAATGTTAATATAATAAAGTGCACCAATCAACTCGTTCAAGCTGAACAAAACCAAATAAACAACTCAAAAATAACCATGGACTAAGGTAATGAACTCAAAACATAAACTGTAACGGAATCCAAAAAGGCAATTATACCTTTCTTCTTTCATCACTTGTGGTACCAATTTGTTAGTAAAGCTGTCAGATATGTAAGTGAGGGCTGGTTAGGTTAAGATTGGTGACAGTTTCATTATTAGGATCATAAAAGTGTTTATTAATAGAGTATTGAGAAAATGTCAATTTCGTCTTCTGTCAAACAAGTCCAATATCATTATTTCTCATTCAACATAATTAAGTATTGTCATACAGTAGTAACCAATATTTTGAGATATTGGAAACTTACAAGGGATAGATTATTTTCTTTGTCAGCCTTACAGTATTTTTGAAGGGGACTTGAAATTTTTGGGATGGGGGGGGGGGGGGGACACTGTTATATATTTTCTAAATAAATTCCCTTTCGTTCAGCAATGCCTGGAAGAAACACTGATAGTGTGGTCAGCAATTTGTCCAGCCACCTTTAATTAGCCTGTCGCTTGGCCTACTTTATTTTGTCTTCATGGTAATGATGGCTGCCGAAAACGACAATACCGTGATTTTGTTTTTAACAATGTTTCATGATCATTTCAGAAATACATATTTAAATTGTTATTTTTGCGTAGTGAATATCAATCTAGTTTTAACAATGGATGGTTAGTGTTTGATGCAAACTTGCCATATGTACATTTTTTAAGTCTAATCACTGAGAATATCAAGCAGGACATAATAAAAGTAAGCAAAACTTGAATTGCTTTATTTAATATTGTTCTAAACATACTGAAAATATATTCTTAACTATAGAAAATTATAACTTGCTTTCTACTAAACTAATGTCATTAATGATTTAAAAATCATGCAGGGTAAAAACAAAATCTATAAAAAATAACTTGATCAAGACAACAGCAAACTAAGCCCGCCCATTTTATTTTAAAGAAATATTTTCAGTGGCAGCGTTGGTACTGTCGAATTCACAAATTATGAATTACTGAAAAGTAGAAAAAACAACAACTAAATAGCGGCGTATGTTATGCCGCTAGTTATAGACCTACTCTACAATTAAACTGCATAGCATTTTTTTTTAGGCCAACCCATACTTTTTAGCATCCTACTCATTGAGAAGGCTACTGATGAGCTGATTTCATGTGACATGGCATGGCCATATGTCTTTATGAAGCATATGATAAATAGGTAGATCTAGTTATTAACAACCGCCCGGGGGGGGGGGGGGGCAAGTAATCATTAGCCTAATGTAATTTCATTCTGAATTAGGCCTACTATTACTAACTTAGTTACCAGGTAGAATATGTGTATTTAAGTATATTACATGCACGCAAATTATACTCCTATTATTTTGTGTGCAAACAAACCTGGATTATCTTTCTTTTTGTTTTCATTTTCGTTTGCATCTCCTGTCGACGACATTGTTTATGTGTTGCTAAGGGGATTAACGAGTTACTTCCCGTGATAATATGAACTTTGACCCCCCAAAAAAAACTGACTGAGTCCTTAATTAGAATCATTACACATTTCTTTACATAGTCTGTGTTAAACAAGTGTGTCTAATAAATTAATAATGGTACTATAATGGAATCTTTTTTTTTAAATATGTGTTTTGTTTACTGCATACTAACTATTACATTACAAGTAGTATATATATATATATATATATATATATATATATATATATATATATATATATATATATATATATATATATATATATATATATATATATATACACACACACACACACTTAAACAATATGCAGACAATATAAAAGTAATATCTAAGATTTTGGGTAGTGATAACCAAACACCAATCAGATTTCAAAATTTTATTATAAAGTAGATCTAAATGCGTATCAAACCTAGATCTAAATACGAGTAAGTACATTAAAAAAATTTAGTATTGTAAGTAGTACAAAATTGGAATTTTTTTATCAAAAGATATTATTGGCTCGTTTGAATCAAAGCTTAAATTATAATGGCGATTTTGTCCAATTAATAAGTAAACTCATCAACCACAAGCAAATCGACGTATTGATCTAGGACTAAGGTGTTTAACTCTGGGTCTACAACTTGTTTCAGCATATCGGTTACTTCATCTGGAGTGAATGGTTCACCTATAAATAATAAGAAAGCTTTATTAATGAGAATTTGTAAGCATTATATTCATATTTCTATATTAAATAATACTTTATGTGAGTTACAAGTAGGCTAGCCGGGCAGACTAAATTGATCAAGCTAATAGTAATAGACAGGCTAGGTGGATTGTGAATTTAAAAGGCTAGGTGGATTGAGGTGGGGGTGTAGACATGTAACAATGTTGTCCACAAATGATATCATGCTTTTAAAAATTATTTTGATTTCCCACCCATTCCCCATAATCAAAAACGTCTAACTCCCCTCCCTGGCTCTTTATCATACTATATGGATGACCTCTAACCTTAGATAGGCTGGCCCACACCCCACCTCAGGTAGGCTGGCCCACACCCAACCTCAGGTAGGCTGGCCCACGGCCCACACCCAACCTCAGGTGGGCTGGCCCACACCCCACCTCAGGTAGGCTGGCCCACACCCAACCTCAGGTAGGCTGGCCCACACCCCACCTCAGGTAGGCTGGCCCACACCCCACCTCAGGTAGGCTGGCCCACACCCAACCTCAGGTAGGCTGGCCCACACCCAACCTCAGGTAGGCTGGCCCACACCCAACCTTATGTAGGCTGGCCCACACCCAACTTCAGGTAGGCTGGCCCACACCCAACCTTAGGTAGGCTGGCCCACACCCAACTTCAGGTAGGCTGGCCCACACCCAACTTCAGGTAGGCTGGCCCACACCCAACCTCAGGTAGGCTGGCCCACACCCAACTTCAGGTAGGCTGACCCACACCCAACCTCAGGTAGGCTAGCCCACGGCCCACACCCAACCTCAGGTAGGCTGGCCCACACCCAACCTCAGGTGGGCTGGCCCACACCCAACCTTAGGTAGGCTGGCCCACACCCAACCTCAGGTAGGCTGGCCCACACCCAACCTCAGGTAGGCTGGCCCACACCCCACCTCAGGTAGGCTGGCCCACACCCAACCTCAGGTAGGCTGGCCCACACCCAACTTCAGGTAGGCTGGCCCACACCCAACCTCAGGTAGGCTGGCCCACACCCCACCTCAGGTAGGCTGGCCCACACCCAACCTCAGGTAGGCTGGCCCACACCCAACCTCAGGTAGGCTGGCCCACACCCAACCTTACGTAGGCTGTGGGCCCACAACCTCAGGTAGGCTGACCCACACCCAACCTCGGGTGGGCTGGCCCACACCCAACCTTGGGTGGGCTGGCCCACACCCAACCTCAGGTAGGCTGGCCCACACCCAACCTCAGGTGGGCTGGCCCACACCCAACCTCAGGTAGGCTGGCCCACACCCAACCTCAGGTAGGCTGGCCCACACCCAACCTCAGGTAGGCTGGCCCACACCCAACCTCAGGTGGGCTGGCCCACACCCAACCTCAGGTAGGCTGGCCCACACCCAACCTCAGGTAGGCTGGCCCACACCCAACCTCGGGTGGGCTGGCCCACACCCAACCTTACCAGCAGCCCGGACACCATCAACTGGTTCTGTGATTTAGGGGAGTGGGCCGACCCCTTAGATCGAAGGCTACATACCCGATTCGGTCATGAAAGCTGTAATTTCATCAGGAGTGAAATACCCCTTGCCCTCCGTATCCAAGATCTGAAGAGCCGTGCGAATTTCTTCCTTTGTGGCGGAGTGGTATCTGCAGAGACATTTGACCATCTGTGAGTCGTTAGTTTATCTTAACAATACATCAATGAGTCGTTAGCTTATCTTAATCCTGTGAAAAGTTACCAACAAAACAATTCGATCAAATTACTGCAGCAGTATTGGTTTCTTTTTTTTTAACTATGCATATATATATATATATATATATATATATATATATATATATATATATATATATATATATATATATATATATATATATATATATATATATATATATATCATAGACTTGAGTAGAAACTGTGGCCCCGCCCACTTACCTGTCAGTCATTAAGACTTTAGTCATCATCTTCAAGAACTTTTCATAGCTGAACGACTCACTTTGTTTTTCATCCAGCACCTGATGGTGAAAGATGCCTATCCCATCCAATGTTACAATTTAGGGGAGGGGTAAACCAGGTAACTATAGGTGAAAGATGCCTATTCCATCCAATGTTACAATTTAGGGGAGGGGAGGGGTAAATCAGATAACTAAAGGGGAAAGATGCCTATCCCATCCAATGTTACAGTTTAGGGGAGGGGAGGGGTAAATCAGGTAACTAAAGGTGAAAGATGCTTATCCCATCCAATGTTACAGTTTAGGGGAGGGGAGGGGTAAATCAGGTAACTAAAGGTGAAAGATGCTTATTCCATCCAATGTTACAGTTTAGGGGAGGGGAGGGGTAAATCAGGTAACTATAGGTGAAAGATGCCTATTCCATCCAATGTTACAGTTTAGGGGAGGGGTAAATCAGGTAACTATAGGTGAAAGATGCCTATTCCATCCAATGTTGCAGTTTATGGGAGGGGAGGGGTAAACCAGGTCAGTATAGGTGAAAGATGCTTATTCCATCCAATGTTACAGTTCAGGGGAGGGGAGGGGTAAACCAGGTAACTATAGGTGAAAGATGCTTATTCCATCCAATGTTACAGTTTAGGGGAGGGGAGGGGTAAATCAGGTAACTAAAGGTGAAAGATGCCTATTCTATCCAATGTTACAGTTTAGGGGAGGGGAGGGGTAAATCAGGTAACTAAAGGTGAAAGATGCCTATTCTATCCAATGTTACAGTTTAGGGGAGGGGAGGGGTAAATCAGGTAACTAAAGGTGAAAGATGCCTATTCCATTCAATGTTACAGTTTAGGGGAGGGGTAACCAAAGCCTGTTGGAACAGCTTTGCTTTTTAAAGTTCTACAATGGATTGTAGAACGTTCCAATGTATTTTTTTTTATTTAAGACGAAATAGAAAAAAACAATAAATGTTTTTTTTACCATTGCAGCCCCCTCCCCGAGTTTTATGGCACCCCCCCCCCTCCCCCACCTGACAGACAAGTCTGAAAGAAGCCCAGCTGAAAAAGATGACACCAACTATAAAATGTAACCAGATCTAAACTATCAACGATTAACACCTTAAGCCTTAAGCATATTTATAACATTTTAAGCAAAATTTTCTGTTTCTTAACTTTCTTTATATATGTATGCAGATCTTAGGAAGGACGCAGGTACTTATCGTCCCCCCTTTTAAAATGAGATGATTTACCGATTGAATATAATGAGATGATTTACCGATTGAATATAATGAGATGATTTACCGATTGAATATAATGAGATGATTTACCGATTGAATATAATGAGATGATTTACCGATTGAATATAATGAGATGATTTACCGATTGAATATAATGAGATGATTTACCGATTGAATATAATGAGATGATTTACCGATTGAATATAATGAGATGATTTACCGATTGAATATAATGAGATGATTTACCGATTGAATAAAATGAGATGATTTACCGATTGAATATAATGAGATGATTTACCGATTGAATATAATGAGATGATTTACCGATTCGATCATATCCTCCAACTGGTTGTTGGTCGGCACACAGTGCAGTGCTTGAACTAACCCGCCGAAGTTTCTGTACAAGATAAAACATTTCAACCAGTAGCGTACGCAGGGGGGAGCAGGGAAAGCGGCCGCTCCCCCTCTGGCCATTTTTTTTTTAGCAAAGTGGCGCCTTTTTGGAAACTTTTTAAACTCAAAGTTTTAAACATTGATATTTATTTAAAAATTATCTTTGGTCGGCACATCTATGCAAATCACAAGATTTATTTCATGCAGCAATTAGTTATAACAGTAATAGACTAGTAGAGTCAACGTTTACAACACGTATTAGCAGCTGTATCCGTTTGTCATTCTAAAAATAACCATTACGATGCATTGCAATGTTTAAAAAACCTCTACGGGTGTTAAGTTTAAGGCAACTGTATAATGTATTTGCTTACGAAGAATTGAATTAGAAAATGTTACATATACAACTTCAAGCATAATTACTTTACATATACAGTTTAAATCGTGTAATTTATTTTTTAAAATTACAATACAGACACAAATACAACTGATGTGGCACCTCTATTTAAATTTACTTATGTGCAAACTGCGTAGCGGTGGGGAAATTTTGACACGGTCAACAACGTCGTCACGATGAAGTAGTAGTATTATGACAGTTTGATTACGATTACAAATTTTATAAAACAATATCAACTTTCTGTTAATTATTATTTTAGTTTACTAGATCTAGATCTATATTATATTTGAATAATGCTATATTTTGTATTTTAAAAAAAACAACTCAATTTAAACTAACACTGATCGCACAGTTAATTATCCGCTACTTATTTAAATCTGTTTTTGAATCAGTATACATGCGCAATTGAATATGTAATGTTTAAAACAGTCATCTAAAAACTGACGCTATGTTTGTTATCCACCCCCACCTCACCACCACAATTGTGTAGAGCAGGGGTCTCCAAACTACGGCCCGCGGGCCGGATGCGGCCCGCGAGGTCCTCTCATCCGGCCCGCGGAGATATTTTTGTCCACGGAAAAACGTTTGTGGATGATAGCTGAGGAACTTTGCCCAGAAAAATCAAAGACATGCCTGGAAGAAACTGGCCCCCGAACTGAAATTTGATAGTCAATGCGGCCCTCGGGCTAAAAAGTTTGGAGACCCCTGGTGTAGAGCGACATTAATGTCACACTTAGGTAAACGCTGGGTTGAATAATTGACCTAAAGTGACCGGACAGTGGTGGATGAAGTTGAACCCCTCCTTCCCCCCCCCCCCCCCCCCCCCCCAACCCAGAACTGATCTGTTAAGTACATTTGGGAAAACGCGTGTTAATGTACCAAAGTACCATGCCGCCAGAATCATAGCTTTTGAAACGTAAATCTCTGTGAATATTGTTTTTGCAATTACCAGTAAAATGTGTGAGAGCAATACAGTGATCTAACCCATACCTTCTCATTTTGTTAAAAAAGTATCTTTAAAGAGCACAAAAAGTCAGTAGCTAATTAAAAAGCGCATGGTCTGAAATGTAAGACCGATATTTTTGTTACATGCAAGTTATTATTCCGAATGTTGAACTTTTGTATTGAAAAAGCTTGCTTTTATACCAACTCTGATTTTTAAAACTTTCATTATGCTGTAAATTTTTAGCATTTATGAAAATACATTTAAATCTGATTGTAGACAAAATATTTTTGTAAAAACGAATAGTGTTAAGCTATTTTATTAAAATCCTAAGTAATTATTGATTTGTTTTGATCTTTATAATAAAATGTGCAGACATATACATATTTATATTAAGATATTGATAATTTCCCCTTTTCACTAGTCTTAATGTCCCAGGAATTATTATGTAATTTTTTTTTTACAAGGATTACGAAACAGATTATGCTGCGTTCATTGTTTTTGGTTGTAGTATATATATATATATATATATATATATATATATATATATATATATATATATATATATATATATATATATATATATATATATATATATATATATATATATATATATACTTACATAGAAGATATTACAAATTCGGCGCCTTTTTTTTTTTTTTGCTATTTTCGCTCCCCCTACACCGAAAACCTGGATACGCCTCTGATTTCAACTAACCCGCCCAAGTTTCTGTACAAGATAAAACATTTCGACTAACCCTCCCACGTTTCTGTACAAGATAAAACATTTCAACTAACCCGCCCAAGTTTCTGTACAAGATAAAAAAATAGTTTCCAAATATCTTCCCGAATGTACATGTTTTGCATTTGTTATGTACTCTCCCTTTACACAATTTATCCTTGCCAAAAAACTATTTGATAAAAAAACGTGTCCCACTATTGTTCTATCTTGTGGAACCCATTCTTGATTGTTGATGTGTTTTGGGTTGTCCATGATAGGCGTCACACCTCTTATAGGATGGGGAGAAAGGGGCGGAATGTTGTGATGAAAAGGAGGGTTTAAGAAAGTCTGAGGAGACACTCCTGCATTTTAAAATAGTTATTTTAAACTTATTTAGCAATTTTTTTTTGTTTTCTGTGAGACTTTTTTGCAAAGATTTACGATAAAAGCGATCACCCCAGCTATTCATGGCCTCGAAACCAATGATTTGGTTTGTGTGGGGACACAGATTGGCTCGCAGAGACTAGTGCCATTTGTGCTAGAGTGATGATCCTTGTGGCAAAAATGTTTTTTTTAATCCCCAAACTTCGTACGTGTTTTAGTGACAAAACCACAGGCAGACTGTCAGTAGTTTTGTCAAGGGTCATTCGTGGACTGACAGGTTCTACTGTAGGTCATTCGTGGACTGACATGTTCTATTGTAGGTCATTTGTGGACTGACAGGTTCTACTGTAGGTCATTGGTGGACTGGCATGTTCTATTGTAGGTCATTTGTGGACTGACAGGTTCTACTGTAGGTCATTGGTGGACTGACATGTTCTATTGTAGGTCATTCGTAGACTGACAGGTTCTACTGTAGGTCATTGGTGGACTGACATGTTCTACTGTAGGTCATTCGTGGACTAAACTAGGAAGAGTGACACATTTACCCGACATAGTGACGCCCCTGCTCGTATTGATATCACATTTATAGACATGAAACGAACAAGCAATCACCTTGCAGGTAAGAAACCTGTTTCGTCTGGGTCGTAGATTCTGAAAACTTCCTGGATCTTATTTTGAATACTCGCAAACTTTACCTCTGGAAAACAAATGTGAAAACCCTGTTAGTAGCCTGTTAGGTTGAATTGTTGACAAACGTAATCTCTTGTGATAAATGTGAAAACACTGTTAGGTTGCACGGTTGCACGGTTGTATAGTGTTTGATGTAGTGTTCCGTAGTTCACCGTCTGACAAGTCTATACTATCACGTGTTATGGTGCACGTGGACATGTAGCATAGACCAGCTCGTGCATCAACAGACTGGCGGGGGGGGGGGGGGGGGGGGGGGGGGGGTTCAAGTGTCCCACCCCTGTCCCGGAAAACATCTGAAAAAAACTGTATATATGTATGACATAATAACCACAGACCCGTACAGAGGCGTAGCGACCCTTCCCGGCGCCCGGGAACAACTTCCGATTTGCACCCCCCTCCTCAAGCTTTCAATTTATTTTTCCAACCCATTTTGGCACCCCCTAAGGTCGGCGCCCGGGGATATATGTCCCCCGCCCCCCCCCCCTCCCCCCTCGCTACGCCTCTGGACCCTCTGAGACATTGAACTGTGTGTCGTGATGAGTACTGAGACATTGTACTGTGTGTCGTGATGAGTACTGAGACATTGTACTGTGTGTCGTGATGAGTACTGAGACATTGAACTGTGTGTCGTGATGAGTACTGAGACATTGTACTGTGTGTCGTGATGAGTACTGTGACATTGCACTGTGTGTCGTGATGAGTACTGTGACATTGTACTGTGTGTCGTGATGAGTACTGTGACATTGCACTTTGTGTCGTGATGAGTACTGTGACATTGTACTGTGTGTCGTGATGAGTACTGTGACATTGCACTGTGTGTCGTGATGAGTACTGTGACATTGTACTGTGTGTCGTGATGAGTACTGTGACATTGCACTGTGTGTCGTGATGAGTAATGAGACATTGTACTGTGTGTCGTGATGAGTACTGAGACATTGTACTGTGTGTCGTGATGAGTACTGTGACATTGCACTTTGTGTCGTGATGAGTACTGAGACATTGAACTGTGTGTCGTGATGAGTACTGAGACATTGAACTGTGTGTCGTGATGAGTACTGAGACATTGTACTGTGTGTCGTGATGAGTACTGAGACATTGAGGGCGTCTCTCTGCTCGCACTTGTAGCTGTGCCTGTAGCCAAAATTCGAAATCTTTTCACGGACTAGGACCAGTTGCAGATACGACTATTGTTCTGTGCTTGATGGAACTACCGAAGTTAAATTAGATAAGTGTGGCACTATGCTTAATGAATATCTATACTTCAAAAGAATTTAACCTGTCGGTTTTTTCTTAGATTTACTGTCCGCTTTCTTGCGTCCCTTTTTTTTCTGGCTCTTTCCCTTTGGCTTGTTCTCGTTGAGGTTAGCGTCATCGACGTTCTGGGCATGCCCATCAGTTTCTCTTGCTTCAAGGGCCTTCACGACTGATTTACTTGAATCCATTTTTAGACAAGTCTGCGATTGATTAAATGGAAATTATCCAATATAGCACACAAAGATAATCGATGGATGACATCACGTGATGGAACAAGCATGTGAAGTATTCTAAAGAGATGCCTGAAAGAAACTCTGGATGTCGCAAGTTTTTAGCTGTGTTTGTATTCCAGGCACCTGAGTAGCATTAGCAGCTCACTCAACGCTACAAGCACAACACTGCAACTACATTAGTAGCAGAAATCTGGGCATAGGTAATGTAGCATTAATTAGTCCATAACCTGGTCTGACCTCGAGAAACGATGGAGATTTTCTAAACCAACGAGGCGCAAGCTTCGTCCCACGACCGGTCTCTGTGGCTGGCTAGATCAAGCGTCGTGTCCTCACTCTCTCAACTGACCAAAGACAAAGCACAAGGTTGCTCATCATATTGGGCCGCATCTTGATCAACAGTGTCAAGGGACGGTGCGTTTTTGTGCTTGATGTAACAGTGTATGCAATAAAAAGGACAAAATAAATTATTTCCTTTAAATATATAATAATGAACTACTATTTAAATAAGCCCTAAATTGTATCGAATATTCTTATATAACACTACAGAGGATGGCACCTCGGGATATAGATATGATTTTTAATCCATTTTTAATAACTTAAACTTTTTAAAAATAGAATAAAATCTCGTAAAAAAAATAATTGCGCACAAAGTGAACGCCAAAAAATCTGTTTATAATAGTGCGGAATATTATTAGTACTTTCTAAATTCACATGCGTTTTTGAGAAATCGGAAATAGCGTAAATTACTAGATCTACTTCCGTTCATTGGAAATTACTCAAATTTAGACAAAAGGCAGATAATTAGATCGATAATTTGAGTGCCGTTACAGCTAGGTTGATGAAATTTCGTATATAAGTATTCTATCAAATTTGTAATTCTGTATCAACTTTTCAGCTATTTCCGGTAACCGGAAGTGGCAATTAATCTACTTTCAATTTTTCAGAACCCTATAACTTGAGTACTCTAAAACGTAATTAATACAATAGAATTCCGTGACTAAAAGTAATTGTAGGTCAATTGATCACAACGTACGTTTAATAAGGTGGAAAATAGTAGGCCTACGTTTTATAGGAAATTGTAATTAATTCGTTATGATCAGAGTTTCTTCCAGGCATCTCTTCATAGGGCGGGGGGAGGGGCTGAGCCCCCCGAAGAAAGTCCACTGCCCCCCCCCCCCTGAATGAAATGGAATTTATATGGAAAACATACTGTTTAGTGTCCGCCCCCCCCCCCCTCCCCCCGAAAATATCAAGAAACACTGTTTAAGATCAATTGATCAATTGAGCAAACCTATTTGCTGTAACATGGCATTGTCGTCGAATCTTGACGCACTTGTACAGTTTGAAAGAATGCACAAAGTATTATATAAGTACGAGAAAGCCAGTTAATTTATTTAAACTTCCAAGACGCCATTAAAAATTGTATAACAGTAAATATTTTGTTTGTTAGCAAAAGGAATATTAGTCTATAACTTTAGATAAATTAGGTCTTTACGAAACGTCAATATTCCATCAGAGAAACCATAGAACTACCACTACACATTTTTGCTCTTGTTATTTTAACTTAATTTTAAGCCATGGTCAGCTGTCCTAATCGCTCCGTCATTCCCACCTATTGAATTGCTGCAGACGCCGGGAACCACATTTAGGCCAGTAATCAGTGGCAAAGCTACCGTAAGCTAGCGTAAGCTAAAGCAAGGCATGGGGGCCCGAGGAAAATAGGGGCCCTTTTCCCTCTTTAAAACAATTTAAAACTTTTACATTGGAATTTTAATATTTGTTTTATATAAATAATTTTAAAAAGAAAATAAATGGAAATCCAGTTTCTTTTCTACTGTAGAAAAAAAAATCAAAAGTTCATAAAAGGCCCCCCCCCCTCCCCAGACCTTTCTTACTGTAGAGGTATTGGCATTCGGTGTGGGAGTGGGGGGGGGGGCGGTCGTAGAAGGCCCACCGGTATTAATAACACTACAGGCGTTGTTGCATTGTCGGGAACGCCGTTGAGAGAATTAGAATATAAATAAACTTGAACATTGACTCTTTTGTGAGATTGGCATCCGGTACCCGTAAATTTACAAGCATCGCCACAAACCTTAAATGACTGGGAAATTCTCTACCTAGCCCCCACAAACCTTTACTTACCCCCACCCTCTCTCAACTGTCTGTCCTCGCCGACATTTCATCCATCCATGATTACAATTGAGCCTTTTTTTAAAATAACAGCTGTGGACAGTGTTTTCACAACAGCTAAGTCCAACATTTGTCAATGTTTTTCTACTCGTTAGTCTTAATTTTAATAACATTTTTTTTTTTGCTGATCTAATTTATCTTTAATAATATGCCGATACTAAATCATTTGTGTGTGTGAAATTTCCTTCACAACCCCACACACGAGGAGCAGTGATCCCCCCCCTTTCAAAGAGAAGCCAGAAAGAAACTCTTACTCCTGTAAAGTTTCCTGCGATTAATGTTGTCTTTATTTCGTTCGAAGAGTAGCGCCATGGCAGTAAGGCGGTTCGGTTTGCCAAAAAGAGTTTCCCAGCGGCTTTCTTAGCACCTGGGGTCATTTAATTGGACGTCCTGCACAAGGGGTCAGGGTTACTGCTTTATACAATGGCCAAACTGCACAGGCGCGCCAGCCGGCGCCCCGGGTTCCCCTTTAGCACTACGGCACATATACTTGTTTTAATTAGCGCCATGCCATAGAGATACGGAGGGCTACTATATAATCGATGACTTAATAAAATATGGGGTGTCCTCGTTTGTGTTTTCGTTAGTGGCTTCACAAGGTTCGGTATCACTCTGTGCGTTTAGTGAGTGTCGCCCTACCCCCACCCCCTCCAAGAATTTTGCATTTCCGATGGAGTGTTACCACCTCTTCTTAATATTTTATTATTTTAACTGGATAAAACATAGTTTTGACAGTAAATTTTACGAGTTTCCGTCATGGTGTTACGCCTAAATTGTTACACATCCGTCCCCGCCTTGTGACGCTACTGTGTTAGATTATTTAAATGTTAATTTGTTAGTTTGCTTTTACATAAACGTGATGTACAATCAAAGGTGTTTAACGTTACGGGGTACTGCATAATAACACTATAAATACACACTTATTAGGACGTTTACAGATTGACGAAGGGGCCCAATGTTAATTTTTGCATAGGGGCCCGAAAATCCTAGCTACGCCGCTGTCAGTAATGTTGTAGCTACATTACCATTACGTAGAATCTAGCTATCTATACCGATGTGGCCCATAGGACTAAGTAATTTTTGCACCGATTTCTTAACCTACCCCATTATAGGCCTATAGCATTTACACGTTGAGTGGAAACTGGAAAGCATATTTAAACACATTTTATATGTCATTGCAATGGTTGTACACCCACCCCCCCCCCCCACCACCACCACACCACACGCACACTTAGTCCATACCACCACCTCATGGATGTGGTTTACAAAAAATAAAAACAAAACCAAGGTCAGAATCTAGCAAGATATGTCAAGGACAAGGCCAAAAACTGTTTATGCCGAGCAATGCTTTTTAATATTATTTGTATATCAAAACGACAATAAATAAGAAACTAGATGCATTAAAAATTACAATTTTCATTGGGCTTATTAAGAAAGCAGTGTGTATTAAGTCTAAAGAGTTTTATACTGAAGGGTAGCCTAGCTAGGCGTCGTAGACTGACGTAGATCATTCGAACTAAATTTGCAACCATATTTTTCAACATGACGTGTAGATCTATTCCATCCTCTAGATTTGGAGGAAAAAAAACTCTTTAGGGCCTACATTTTACTTTTGCATTAAAAAAAAAAAACATTCTCTACACTTGTGAAGGGTTTGGAGTGGATGATGACTGTTTACTCGTGTTTGTTGCTATTTTTGTAGCTTTTGACCTAGAACTTTAAGACTTGACCTTCACTTTCACCCCCAGCCGGTTTGTCCCCACCAAGGTGTACCTTGAAAAATTATCAGTAGGTCCAAGCTGTCAGTCAGAGAGAACCTTCAGAGACCCAAGTTTAAAATGGTACGTAACTTTTGTAGTTATCTTTGCAGAACTGTCTTGATTTCATTTTAGTAAAAAATCGGGATACCAAAGATTGATTTTTATCTTGTTAGCTTTGGCAACACGAAATGCTATTATTGAAGTTGGGTCATGTCATGCCAACTGTGATGCCAACCAATAGAATCTCTAACAAAAATATAAAAAGTGCATTGTCGTACGATTTCTTTAGAGTGGTGTGTGGTGGTAGATTAGAATCTAGAATAGATTCTAGATCTAGATAAGATCTGAAATCTATACACTTATACTAGATTTCTATCTGGAACCTTCTTACATAAGACTAGATCTAGGTTCTAATCTAGATCTAGATTCTAGATAATATCGGCAATAATAGATCTAGATCTAGACTTATTCTACTAACTACTAGATTCTAGATCTAGATCTAGATCTAATCTAAATCTAGTCTAGATCTAGACTAGATCAAATGAATATGCTACAAGTACAACCAGAGTAGACTGGAGACTAAGTCAAGTGACTAAGACATAAGAAGACCAAGAGAAGAGCCTTGAAGAGTCTAGATTCACAACTGTGCAGAATTTCTCTTTAAAATATTAAAAATGGTAGGCCAAAAAATTAATGTTAGGCTACTTAGTTTTAGATCTTATATATTATATAAATATATCTAGATCTAGGATTCTTCAGTTAAGGTGTTGGGAAATTGCATAAAGCGAAATGGCGAGGCGGGAAAATGCGAGACATACTTGCGGAATCAAGGGTAAATAGTGAGACCTTTTGCGACAAAGTTTTTTTCATGCTTTTTTCATCTTTATTTATTTAAATTATTTTATTTGTTTTAAAATAAACAAGCATGTGTTATTTTTATCTAGATTTCATTATATATATAGATAGATACTAAGAAGCTAGATAGATCTATATCTAGATCTATCTATTAAAAAATCCTAACATCGTTGCTGTGCTACTGTCTTCGCCCTCTCTCGTTAGCGAGAGGAAAATCCCGTCTCATCTCGCCGTCTCGCAATTTCCCAACACCCCTTCAGTTAGGGTTTGGGTTATCGTTAGCTTACTCAACTAAACTTAACTTAATTTTGACATTAGCCTGTTATTCTGTCAAGTAGGGGCCTACCATTGTGGCTGATTTAGTTCACTGCTAGTAATCTAACACCCCTTTTTGTTGAATAATATTCCATTATTGTGCCTGGTTTCATTACACTAGAATAAGGGGGTGTACATAAATGTCTCAATCATAGATGTGATAGGGGTTCGTTATTTTTTAAGCTATTTATGACTTTTGTATTTTAAACATAATCTTAACTGAGTTTTTTTTTTAAGTTTTAGAAAACTGTTTTAATAAATAGTAGGCCTAATAGAAATTGAATAAAATGTTGACAGAACTAATGTCAATGTCAATATTTAAAAAAAAATTGTTTTAAAACGACTATTTTTGAGGAGGGTTGTAGGCAGAGGTGTGACATTATTTTTAGCTACAGAAATTGCAAATTTTATTATGTTAAGCTTTATTAGTCAATCAAGTAGAAGGAAAATAAGACTTAAATTAGACCTATTCAAGCCATCTAAAAATGTAGATGGTTAAACACATTAGTTAACTAATAACTAGGTACAGGCAATCTTTCATCTCACTGTAATAAAGGTTAATAAAAATTGTGTGGTTGTGTAAAAATCAGTTTAAGGAACCAGTTATTTACACCAAACATTAATTACTAAAGGCTCTTGTAAGTAAAAGATAACCACTGATTTAAAAAATGTATATTCTCAGGCTGAACCTCTTACAGTTGTCGTTACTGGTGCTGCTGGCCAAATAGCATACAGCTTAGTTGGTTTTATCATCAAAGGAGAAGTATTTGGCCCTACACAGGTTAGTTCGTGATCAACTTATAGTTCACACATCTAATTCTTCTGATACAGTTTTTACCAAGATTTATAAAATGTGCATACTAGGCCTGAAGTGTTTTGTTTTTACTGTGAATTACATTTTGAAATTTTACTGTGAGAGAAAACTAGACTATGACTTACTGTGAGAGAAGTGACAAGATTCAGTGCTTCTATCTTTTCAATCTTAGCCTATAAATCTCCATCTCCTGGACATCACCCCCATGATGGAAGTACTTAATGGTGTTGTGATGGAGTTGATGGACTGTGCTGTTCCTATTGTTAAAAGTAGGTAGACTGCATATGCACTGCTTTAAGGTTATCTAACAGTTCATCAGTTTTTATTTTTGTTGTATATGCTTTTTAATTTTTAGGTAATAAATTTAACTTTATTTTGCTCACAGATATTGTTGCCACTGATGATCCCAATGTGGCTTTTAAGGATGTGGATGCAGCTTTTATGGTTGGTGCTATGCCACGCAAAGATGGTATGGAAAGGAAAGATCTGCTGAAAGCTAATGTGAAGATCTTTAAGGCACAAGGTCAAGCAATGGACAGATTATCAAAGAAAACTGTTAAAGTATGTCATGTTCTAATATAGGGATTACATTTGTTAAAATACCAATAAGAAAAGTAAGACTAAAAGATTGTCTTGTGAAATCAATTTTTCATTAGTAAATGTGTATTTTATTAATGTTTTCATGTCCACGTTCTTTATAAAGATATTTATATGACAGGTTGTTGTTGTGGGCAACCCAGCAAACACCAATGCTTGTATCCTGAGTAGATATGCCCCATCCATTCCCAAGGAGAACATCACTTGTTTAACAAGGCTAGACCAGAACAGGGCACAAGCTCAGGTAAGTTAATGAAATAATGTTAAAAAGATGGTACCACTAAGTTGTATAAATAAGCCATGTGCTCTAGTTTATTGAACTACCATAGACCTAACTCTGATAGGTTTATTAACTGGGGTCTATGAAAATAAGGGAAGCTAAGCATAATTCAGGGTTGCTAAGGTCATACATAGACCGAGCCTCAGAAAAAATGTCAGCTAGCTGTGTATTATACTGACCACACAATCCTTTCTTTATGGGTCATACTAACTTTTAACTACTCCCTAGTGAAACCTTCTTTAATTAGGTGTAGAACTTAGTTTTAGACAGTTTGAGAAATTAATCATTTATAATTTGATTACTTGTAGAATCACCTTTTTTTTGCACAATTTTTATTAGTTTGCTACCATGTATTTTAACAACTGGTTTTTTTTTCTTAGACTAAGAGCTGTTGAACTTTCTTTACAGATTGCAAAAAGGTTGAACGTAACTACTGATAAGGTCAAAAAAGTTACCATTTGGGGAAATCACTCTTCAACGCAGTTCCCAGATGTTGACCATGCCACAGCTGAAATCAACGGCAAGGTTGTTCCTGTACCAGAGGCTATCAAAGATGATAATTATCTGAAGAATGAATTTATTAAGGTAGTTTTTTCATAGTTACATTTATGAATGAAAATATGCTAAATATTTTTTTAAATTTGTTTTTTAAGTTCTCTAGGCTTTCTTTTTTCTTTTTTAATTTAGTTTGTCATTTAAGCTTTTGTCATTGATCCTCATTAATGTGAAGTCTAAATTTGTATTCTCTCAGACTGTGCAACAAAGAGGAGCTGCAGTTATTAAAGCTCGCAAGCTTTCCAGCGCCATGTCAGCTGCAAAGGCTGCCTGTGACCACATGCACGACTGGTTTTTTGGGACTGCACAGGTATAGTTCACCATTTAGTGAAGCGGTATTCAACCATTAAAAATAGTAACATAAGGAAAATTGCTGCAAAAAGTTATCGTTCAGGTAGTCATAGATCACTTTCTAAATCGCATTATAATTTACTTATAAAAATCTTGACCCTAGAAATTTTTATTTTTTAGAACTTGCCTTGAAGCTTTTTAAATTAAAAAAAAATATTTAATTTACAATGCTAAAAACTATTCACAAGTTTGAGTGACTAATTAATTCTGTGATGCATACTGAATTGTATTTTTATGCAAACTTCTGTATAACAGCTGTCTTTATGCCAGGCTTTAAGTTTAAACAACTTTTATCACATTCAGGACAACTGGGTATCCATGGGTGTTATTTCTGATGGAAGTTATGGAGTTGAGCCAGGACTGATGTTCAGCTACCCCTTGACTATTAAGGATAAGAAATGGAGCATTGTCCAATCACTATCAATCAGTCCCTTTGCCAGGGAGAAGCTGGATGCAACTGCTGAAGAGTTGAAGGAAGAGCTGCAAGCTGCTATGGAAGAATGTGCAGACTGACTGCATTTCAGTGGAGATTTGGCAGCTAGATATTCAAAGCCTGCCAACAAACTATGATAGAATACCCTAAATTCATCTAGGTGTCAGCATGATTTAATGTTAGTTTATTGTAATAGTTTGTTTTAAGATTTATTTGTAATCGGGTAATGATTATCTGTCTGTTTTTGTTGCTTCAAGTTAAGACTAAAGAACAAGAACTAATTCCTGTTATTGTTTTTAATATAAGAATGCTCAATCTTCTGCACTAACAAATAGATTGTTTCAGGGTAGAAAATGGTACTTGTAATAAATATTTTCTTGTCTCAAGTCGTTTTCTTAAAATTTTGTATATTCTCAAAACTGGTTTAACTGCAGTATCTATTATATATAATTCTCTACGTGGGGACCATGCGAGACACCACCACTTACGGGCTAAGCCGTTCCTACCCTGCTCTCTTGGCATATTGCTACCACCCAGCCAGTCTGGTGAGCTTTGGTTCACGAGGAATGTTTATAATCGTAGAGCCCTATTAGGGGCAGATAATTTAGTATTTAAATGATTTGAAAATAGGGGGGGGGGGGGGGGGGGGGTAACAATTTCTGCTTCATCTTTTCATTGTCATCTGTAAACTGTCTCCACATCATGGATGGCTGCTTTTATGGTGGGGGGGGCAATTATCGTCCCTCAAGAGCTACTATTAGTGTTAGAGCAAAATATTTTCAGGAGCACAAATTATGACTTCGCTGAAAAGTAGAAAATAAATCAACTAAATAGCGACTGATGCTACATCTAAAAAAGTTAACCTGTTTGTAATGAGACTGCATGGAGTACAATCATGCTTGCACAGAAATACTGCTAGAGCTAACACATGCTTAAACATTAATATTTTTCTACCTCCAACCCCTTACTTTCTATCTTTGGAACATGACAATGAAGAAGATATTTGCAATTATAAAGCTTTAATAAATACTTTGTTTGATTAAAATTGTTGCAAGATTCAAGCATAGGTTAATATAAAAAAATCAAAGTAGCATACAGAATTTTGCACACTTACATAGGTTGCAAAACCAGGTGTCTTTTTGGATATTCCTCAAGGGGTTGTTGAGTTGACCAGATGCCAAACCTTCAAATGTAGCAGAATTAATATTACCTGGCAAGTTACAATTTTACTGCAAACCCATGGACATGCATTTGAAACAATGACCACGAGAGATGCTTTTGAGCATGAGCACTAATACCAATAACTGCTAACCCATCTCTGTGAAACTGAAGGTTTTAAGTTTGGCTTGATGAAAATAAATAGAAATATATTTCTATATGTATTTGAAACGCCTGTAACATTGGTTAAAAAAATCATAAAGTTCTGAATTATTTTTACTTTATCGTATGTGAAGTATAGAGAAAGTATTGCAGTAATGCAAATTTTTTTTAAAAATTGAGATTTTTGCAAATCACGACGTTTTACACCTACCTGAGTCGGAAAAAAATTGTTTTGCAATCGTGTCTGTATGTGTTTGTAAACTTTTCTGCGATTTCCGATAACTGGAACTTTTTCTACTTTCAATCTCTCAAAAGCCAATAACTTAGTAATATTTCAGATAGATAAATGAAATTTTACATGTAAGTAAAAGATCTAATTCTCTGCCTTCTTTCAAATTTTGAGTAGTTTCCATTGAGTGGAAGAAGTAGTTTACGCTATTTCCGATTTCTCAAAAAACGCATGTGAATTTATAAAGTACTAATAATATTCTGCAGTATTATAAACATTTTGCTTGCCGCACAATTCTTTTTTCTACAAGCATTTATTCTATTTTTAAAAATCTAAGTAATTAAAAATCATGTCTAAATCCCGAATTGCCATCCCCAATAATGTTATATAATAATATTCGAGAAAGTTTAGGGGAGATCACTCCCGTTTATTTTTTAAATTAATATTTTTGGCTACTTTAATAGCAAAATCTAAACAAATCATTTTATCCATTTCTAATAATGGAACTTGTCAAACTGCTGACTCAATTATGTACTGTAACAGAAGCGTTTTTCTACTGGTATCACAGGTAGGTTAAAAACTGGCATTATGGTAGCCATTATCATGTCAGTATTTAAAAGTGTAACTAAACATACATATGGATGACAATACTAAACATACAACTGATTCTAAATCTTTATTTCGAAATTCTTTATTTCTGTAGAAACTGTTTGTCTCTAGCATACAATTCTCTCTCAAATCAGTTATAAATTGCAATATATATCTTGTTAAATATACACATAGTTCTTTAAATAAAATAATTCTGATAGGCTCCTTATTGGGCTTTCTTTTGTTTTAATACCTTTAACTTGTAAAAAGTGACTTTTACATTACCTCAACATAATATATAATGAGCATTGATAAGCATATAGCAAAAATGTATTACTTAAATGGAAAATTAGGTACTGCAACAAACAGTCAGTGACATATCTTTTTAAATTATATATTTTTATATACACATTTACAAATGCAACATAACTGGTTTGTGTGCTGTAAGAATAATAATAAGATTTAAAAATTTTAAGAAGTTTTTTTGTATGTAATTCAATGAGCACAATTGCTGTGCTGCAATATTTTTAATATTGAGGAAAGTCTTCTATTGAGGTTTGGTCGCAGGTACATAACATCACAGCTGTGGCTGACCGGCTAAAATAAAAATATAAAGCATGTTTTTTTTTTACAAAATCCACTACACTATTTACAATATTTTATTTGGGCCAGAAAAAAATCTACAAAAGATGGAGTAGCACAAACTACAAAATAATGTTAAGAGAAATAAGTTGAGAAAGCAAGGTTTGGAGTTAACACAATGTCTTTCTATCCCGAATGTGCTTTTAAATCTTGTAAGCAGCATTCACTGAGAACATTGTCACAATTTAAAATAAATTAAAAAAATATTGTAAAATTCAGTATAGTAAAAATTATTAAAAATAATTTACAAATGAAAATGAGAACTAGCATAGACCTAGTCCAATGACCAAATACCATTAATAAAATGTGTAAACAAAAATACATACATGTATTTACATGTACTTTCAATCATCATTTAAGCAATGTTTTTAATACAATTTTAACCGGTAACTATATATAATTTAAAAAACAGTTTTTACTAAACGATAAACCTCAGACAGATTTGAAAAATTCAAATATTTTTGTTTGGGTCAGACTCAAAAGCTTTGGGGAATCATTAGTATGACTTGGACGTTTCAAACTTTTAATTGAAGGCTGTGTTCCATCCCAATTCAAGTGCATTATGTTTGTGTCACATTCTTTTAAACAGTTTTGTTTCTTGACTTCTTCACTGTTTGCTTGCAGTTCAGTGTGCTTTAGTTCAATCTCTGGGTTCATTTTGGCCAACTGATCATTTTCCTTGGAAGGTGTAACTTGTTCTAGGTGGCAGTTATTACAAGCATCAAGATCTCGGGGTGGAGACAGTGATGGTGGGTCATCAAATACAAGCTTTGGTGACAGCTGTCCACCCATAAAATACAAGGATGGCAAGAGTTCTTCAGTAGGACTTTGTCGAGCATTGTTAGAAATGTCTTGCTGCGTTGATATGAGTTCTGGAACATCACTTACATTTATTCTTCCTTCAGACAACGAAACTAAACTATCAATTCTGCTTAGTGAAACTGTGATCCAGCTGTTTAACAACTTGGACTCTACTGATGGCTTCAACTGAAAAAGAAAATTATTATTTACTTTTTGTAAAGAATGTATATTAGAGCAAAATAAAGCTGAAACTTTTTTAAAAAAAGCACCTAAAGCTACAATGCTGGGTACACTATTTCATTATTTCAACATTATTTGCTCACCTAGCTCATGATTAAAAATAATTTACAACATTTAAAATAATATATACATGAACCTTTATATTTAAAAACTAAAAATAAGCACATTATATAATTTTCTTAAACCATAACAGAAAAAGCTTTGTTGTTCAAGAAATCTATTTGGCTAAGAAAATTATATTTATTTTCTTCTTTTTAGGGCTTTTAAAATGCTTATTTTAAATGTTTTTTTTGTGCTAAATTTTAAAAATAAGTCAATATTTAAGTTTAAAAAAAATCCAAATGTTCAGTCTTTCCAAGCCAACTGTTCTTAAGTCTGCATCCATCCTAAACAAAAATATTTGTTTTAAAGATATTCTGTTTTGCAATATATCATGAAATGGACTGCTCTTAGTAGGTTTTCAACATTTTGAAGCCAGGCGATAAATATGGTTATTAAAATCTGACTGTTTGGTTTATGTCGGACTTGACCAAAGATTGATGCATTTGATGTTTCTTGTATGTTTGGTAACTAAAATACAATTGGGTGTTTTCATTTTGTCTCTGACAATGTACATAAACACGGCATAAGCATGTCCGGAGTAAATTAAGAGGAACCAACATACATTTTATGTCAAGGAAGGTTGCTACTTTACATACAATATGTCATGGAAGGTTGCTACTTTACATGTAATTTTTTAAACTTATTTTGTTACTATTTAGAATTTAAAACAAAATGTAATAAAGATACAGAATTACATAATACAATATAGAGCTACATTTATGATAAGCTTTTAGCACATTTCTATTGAGAAAAACAAATTTAAATTTATCCTTACAGCTGCATAATTTTTTTAAAAAAAGATTCTGGTACTTCATGCCCTGGTGCATGAATTTCTATTAGAAGGTCAGTATTTATAAAGACAAAACAAAATTTGATCGTACACTACACAATTGGGTAGCTAATTTGAAAGAGGAATAGTTAAATTTATTTTCAATGTTAAATTTTTAAAAAATGGACTCAGGTTATAGTTGATTTTTTGTGTGCTGATCTGTTCAAATTTAAAAAATGAACTCATTTTCTAGTTTTTTTATTTTGTTGCTACCTGTAATTATCTTGGCTGAAACAGGTTGATGCGGACATAACACTTTTTGAGAGCATAATTAGTTGAATCTGATGATTAGTTGATAAAATGAATAGAACTGTTTAAATCTAGGTCAGCATATTTATAGCCTTAATCTGAAAGAGTGACTACACTGCTAGTCCTAATCTGCTAACATTAGTCCTGCTAACTGCTTGTCCTAACACTGCTAGACTCGGGACAGTTGTCTCCATTATTTACATTTTTAAAAAATGTATTTACATTTTTTTAAAAATGTTAAGTAAAAGATCATCTGTGTTGATATTTAATTATTAAAAATGTGAAAAGGCAATGCTCAAAGTGACAACGGAGTAGCTGAAAATGACGAAATTCATGCAAAAATAATAGGGACATGCTGCAGGTAAGCAGATGACACTGGAAATGAAAGCTTCTCACTTTACTGAACCAACAAGTGTTGTCGAGACCTCAATCGCACCTGTGAATAGCTTGATCCAGCAGAAGGTAGCTTGGAATTTCTAGAAGGTCTTCCTACTCTGCGTCTGGTAGATGTTCCTGGTACAGTCAATGATTGTTGGGAAGTAGCAGCTATACATGATTTCCGTTTTTTGCTCTTTTTTTCTATATCTGAATATCAAAGAATTATTTATTGACAAACAGAATAGTTTTTTTTTTTTTACAGAAGATGTAATTATGTATTAGAGATTTGGGAATGATGAGTATTTCTAAATTTCAAAGAAAATTTATTATAACCTATAAAAAGTTAGTAGACAAAAACACGAAAAGGCCAGTTCACAATGAAGCAAAAGCAGCTAGGAAGGTATTATGGATGCTTTATTAAAGAAAAATTGAACTTCATAGACTTGATCTACAAATGCTGTGATTTTGGAAAAAATTAATTGTTAGAAACTGAAGTACCTACCTTCAGCTATCTCTGCGCAATCTTTACACAAAAGAACATCATCTTTTTCTATGAGTGCCCCACAAGCTAGATGAGATCCAGCTGATCCGCACCAACCACAGAGAAACAATTCATAATCCCTGTTGAACATCATTTATATGAACTTTTGTATAATACAAATCTGCTATAAGAGTTTTAAAGATTCATATGACAGTAATATAAAACAAAAAATATTACAGACCCTGAATCTGCATCAAAGTTTTTTCCTTGCGGACAAGTGCAAACTAAAGCATCACAAGTGTCATATCTTTCAAGGAGATCATGAAAAGCATTTGGTTCTCTTTCCCACGATGCATCTCTATATTAAACAAAAAAAAATTTAAAATTTGAATTAAAATTTTACAATGAAATTAAAATTGGTCTGACTCACTCTCGAAGGAGCATTTAAATATTTAAAAAAAAAAAAAGCTCAGTGTTATTTAATAAAATATAAAATGTGAGTGATCATAAAAACTTGATTGTGCTGTCTTTGGTTTTTTTTTTACTACAGTTTAATTCAAATGTAAACTAGACTTAAATGAAGTGTAATATTATCAATAATATTTAGCCTACCAAAGTGAAGTGGGGCTTAGAGAACAAAACAAAGGGTGGCTTTAAATAGGGGTCATCCATAGATTTTTGTGTATGCATATAAACTGAGTGTGTGTTTTACTTACTGGTCAGGTATATAAACGCCAAATTTCTGCATTTCAGATTGAAATTCCTTAACACAGTTACATAAAGGACATTTGAAATAATGTTTCCCCGCTGAAATGGCATATTGCTGAGGAAAAAAGCTCAAAGTTAACAAACTGCAAGTGTTTTGAAGATATTCTGTAATGTATTAATGATGCAGATGTATTCTATAAAGTGTACAGAAAAGGTACATAATTTAGATGCTATTAAAAACATTCAAATATAAATTAGTATCAAACTGTTTTCTTAGCACACAGGTATCTCTCACCTTGGACTTTGGGCTCAAACCATTTAATTCAAACACATTTGGCCTAAAATTACCTAAATAAAAAAATTGTACCTGCAAGCATTTCCTATGGAAGTGAGACCTAACACAGCAAGGTGCAACTAGTGAGTGTGGAAATTTGGCTGAGTTTACAGATATCAAGCAGATTGGGCAAATGTGACTTCCTGCTTTTTGCAACTGTAATTTGGCTTTAACATCCTGCTGCAGTCTATGCTCTGGACAATATGACCTGAAAACAAACATGAAAAAATGTTTTCTATGTGAAACTACAAAAATCTTGTTAAGCAATACAATAGAAAAATCAGTACACATTAAAGCAAGCCCTGAGATTTTTAACACATTTAGTTTCTTACTGATACACCTTACTGCAGAGAGACCTTAGAGAAATAAATATTGAACATTGTGCATCTCTTACTGAAAGCTGTCAAAAAACTGGTGCAGGGTACCATTTTGTCGACCACAGTTGAGATGAAAAGCTTTTTTACAGGAGCCAATACAACATCCAATAGTTGCTCCTTTTTCATGGCAAAAACAACATTTCTGTTAAAAAAAAAGAGTTCAATATAAAAAAAAAATGAAATTTGTGAAAATTTGTAGACAAATTAGCGAGAAAGTTTTAACTAACCAGCCTATTTCCTCTTTTTATCTCTTTTTTTATATCGGTCAACAGAAATCCAAGAATACTTTTCTTGTCATTTGGTTTAGTATTTTGGCACAGGCCACTTGAAAGAAGCTGAAAGTAAATGAAATAAAGATTATGGGGCAAATTTATTTATTTGTAGTACCAGAACATTTTATGGAAGACTGAATTTAGTATATGGAATGGAAATTGTATTTCATTTATATTGTAAAACAACACTGACATATTTAGTTAGTTATAGTGTAGAAAATTGAGAAAATCAGTATTTTTCTGCAGTAGGAAGCCTATCAATAAAGTAGTAAAGGTATTAGAACAGCCCTATTTTCTCGTTAGATGACGAGATTAAAAATTATGACATAAAAGAAACAACAATCTCACATGAACAGTGAAATTTTATATTAAAATGATGAGTTCTAATATATATACTTCAAAACTTACCAAACAAAAATAATGCACAGTTACATCTTCTTTTCCCAAAAACATTCCAAAATCTATTTCACAGTCTTCTCCGCTTAAGCAAAAGTTGCATACTATAATTAAAAATTGAAAACAAACATAAATTTCATATGAATTTTTATGCCTACTTAACCTTATTCATATACCATGTAAACAGATTAATCTAGTAAAGCTATTTTACCTCTCTGTGCTTCTTTTTGTATATCAGAAATTGCATCCTCTGATTGTATTTGCCTTTTTCTTTTCACTCTGCGCTTTGTATTGTATGTAATAACCATTGAGCTGAGTTTTCTTCTATTTCTAAACTGTGGATAATTATTCATTCTTATATGGGATAATAAATTGATAAGAGATAAAGCTTGTGACAACCTTCAAATTTTTATGAAGTTTTAATGTTGGCTACATAACACTAAACCCGAGATTACAATATCAATACTACTAACTACCTGAAGCAACAACTTTGCATAGTCAGACATCAGTAACACAGATACTCCACTGACTGGTACTGGTGGTTAACTATACTAGATCAAAATACAAGTAGGACTTGCCAGTGTCAAAACTAACCTGTTCCCTAACCAAAGTTCTACAACAACCTTAACCCTAATTTCAGACCTTATGCTAAAGCAAAACCACCAGCAACTTAACTAATTACTGACAGTCACAGGTAATATCAATACTCAAGTTCAGGGTTGAGGCTAGCAGTAGCAAGTCATAGGCCTACTAAATATAGGCTATCTATATTTATTTACTTTTACAAGTTAACTAACAGAAACTTGACTCTTTATTTATGCTGTCCATAGATGATAAGAGTTAGATTCTAAGTTAACTTTTAGTAAATAAATACCTTTGTTGACATTTTGAAATTATTCAATCATCAGTGACACCCAATAATCCACAGGGAACTGCACCTGTAATAATCATCATACTCATAAAACATAAAAGGAAAAATAGGCATAGGCTAAATTACAGAATTAATATTTAGACAAAATCAAAGTCAAAACTGAGTTTTTTTAAATTCAAAGTGAGTAGGTCTAGTTAAAAATAAAATAAATCTACAGTAGGCCTAATTACAGTTGGGAACGTAAGGACTTATGTTAGGCCTAATGAATGGCATCTTGTTACAAAGAAGCCTACCCACCAGCAATACATCTAGATCTAGCTAGATAGCATCAAATAGTCTACCTGTCAGTGACAAACTTACTAATGAAACAGGTGAGCTATATTTCATCTACCCTAAGCCTATGCTCTATGGTAATAATAAAAAATATTGTCCAAAAGAGTAACCTAATAAGACTGGACCTAAATAGTAGATCTAGTTTTCTAGATCTTCTACTACACTGACAGACTATACATTTTTTTTTACACTATATCTAGTCAGTTTTAGATCTAGATCAGTGATTCTTAAACTGGGCTCAATCAAACTCCAGTGATTTGGGGAGTCAGTCAAGTTCTCTTGAGGTCAAGACACACACCCCACTCATCTGATTCACGTTTGGAGTTTGTCAGTGTGGAGGATAGTTCAAATACAACAGCATAAGTGCAAGCCAGACAACACATATCGGTATCATATTTTACCCTTGACACACATTATAAATCATGTCAACACAATCTGTGACATTACATGCACAGAGCAAACCCAATTTTGTTCACCAACAATATTTCTATATTGTGGCCAATTAGTGAGATATGTAAAAGACAATGTGATAAAAGAAGGTTTTATATTTTGTAAGCCTCTTACAACAAAAAAGGCAGCTGATGTAGACACCTGTGCATGACACCTGTTATTGCTACAAAAGCTTTGGCGATTTTTGTACCATATGCGAGCAATACTTTATGCACTTTATGAGGACGCTGGACATCAAAATGAAGAAAAGGAACAGACATTGAATGCAAAAATGGCATGAGAGTGACACTTGCCATGGTCTCTAAAAACTAAAAGCAACAGCTGAAGTAGTTAAATTGGTAGACCCCTATACAATATATAACATACATGGGGCCTAGATGTTTTTGTGTTAAACTTATGTTTTAATAATAATGGTTTTGTTTTTTTGCATAGGCCCTTCAATAGCCTACATGGTTTTTTTTTGACTTGATGGTACAATCCAGACCGTTGGCAGATGAACACATTGTCGGACACTGGCACAATCATCCCAGAACTAGTCTAGAGATCTCTAGATCTAGATCTAGATACTAGTTACTAGATCTAGTAGATAGATCTGCGATCTAGTCTAGATCTAGAATAAGATCTAGATTCTAGATCTATCTAGATTCTAGATCTAGAATCTACAAACTATATAGTTGAATATAGATATTCTAGTAGACTTATAAATACTAACTTATAATTAATAATAAAGTATCTACATTAGAATCTAGACACTTGGGCTACAACTAGATCTAGATCTAGAATAGTAGATCTACAAACAACGATACATATACATTATACATCGGATCGGCTAGACATCATCATATTGAATTATTATTCATAATGACATAAAAAGACAATAATCTCTTAGATTAGATCTAGGCTATGCAGTTTTTTTTTTATCATTATCTCGATAACCACTAGATATAAACCTAGTTAATCTAAATCTGCTCCTTACTAATTAAATGAATGTTTACAAATAGATTCTAGAATAGATCTGGAAGCCTTGTTTCTTAATGTAGATGGTTGACCTGAGAACAAATATCCCTCCAGACTTTACGTGTTAGTCACGTGACAAGGAGTGTTCAATGTTAAAACTAAGAGCTTCAGTTAGCACCGAGTTAGGCCTAATGTGTTTCCCTCTATGGATGGCTAATAGATAGCTTAGACTCTAGACATCTAAATATTACTAGAGATCTAGATCTAAATAAATAAACAACGTAGCCCTAGAAATCTATATCTAAGTAAGCAGTAGGGCTAAGTAGATCCACTAGCCTAGAGTCGGTTGGGTATACCTATAGTATAGTATTAAATATTAACATAATTTTCATTCAGATAAAGACTGAGGGAATAGACTAACAAAACCGCTATCATACTATCATTCAGTATTTCACACAATTTTTATCCTGGGGGGGGGGGGGCACTTGAAAATTTCGGGGAGGGGGCGGAACTGTTAAAAGTATATATTTTTAATATAAATTCCATTTCGTCTGGGGGGGGGGGTAGACTTTCTTCAAAAGAGATGCCTTGAAGAAACTCTGCTATCATTTCATGCAAAATACGACCCATAATAATATAATAACAACAGAATTTATCGTGACTGGGGAATGAGGTAGATCTACAAAATAACAGATTAATATTAAGACAGCAGTGCTTTTTACATGATTTTATTAAACTTGCTTCCTTTGTTGTGTTATTGTTTTAAGTCTGCTGTCGTGGATCGAAATTGGCGAGCGAAATTTCGACCACTTCCAACAAACCAATTTCTCATTTATGTAATAATGCACTAAGAGGAGCAAATAAATGATTTTAATAATGAACTACTATTTGAATAACTAGAAATAAAAGTGTGGGTCGCTTCTAAATTTTTAGTAAAAGTATCTTCAAAACATAATATTATAATTATAGCGACCCACACTTTTATTTTTACTTATTTAAATAATAAATATTAGTTCATTACTTTTACAGAAAATCATTTATTTCTCATTCTCATTTTTAGTGCATTATTAAATTATTAGTAAATTTTTACATAAAAGCTTTCTATTAAAACGTTTTATGCATTTTTAAACAGTGTCTTGTATAAAGTAGGCCTACGAGCGAGTTTTGTTTGTTCAAGTTCATTTGGTGCGCACTTCTTTTTTTCGACTCTAGGCCTATTCAATTCTAAGAATTTTCAATATTTGAAAATTGTATGACAATAATTGCCAATAATCCCTTTAGCCCGATTGCTCTAGAAGTCCCCTTTAGGGGAGATCACTCCCGTTTTTTAATTATTTAATATTTATTGTTTTAAGCACTCTAAACGAGTCCAAAGCGAAACCGAAAGTGATTTATTACTTAGGGCTTAATATTATTTTTTAAAATTAATAATTTTATTATTAATTATTAGGCCCAGTGAAGTGGTACCTCGACGTACGAGTAAGTCGAGTTCAATTCGTTCCGTCACATTGCTCGTATGGCGTGTCGTTACTATCTAAAACTTTCTAACTTAATTATTAATAATTATTAATATAATTTAATAGGCCTAATAATAAAAATATTATTAATTAATTTTAAATTAATAATTTAAGTTGAGATATACTTAATACTTATACTTATTACTTAAGTATTTTAACTAGTACTACTACTACTGTAGTATTAAGTAATAATAGTAACTATTAGTAACTAACTAATACTAGGCCTAGAGTTAGATTAAATCTATAAGTTTTTAAAGTTAGTACTAGATCTAGCTAGACTTCTAGATCTAGAAGTAGATCTAGATCTAGTAGCTAGTAATAGTAGTAATAAACTCAACTCGTTTTATAAATTAAATTGAATAAATTGTATTTACTTTGCTGATGTAGTTGTTGTAGGATGGAGGAGATAGCGGTGGAGGAGCTTCACTTTGTTCTCTTACTCACTGTAACGGCTTAATGCTAAGCTCTTTCAGTCCCTTTAGCCTTTAATTCACTTTTTTAGTTTTTTAGACTCTACTCCAGGGGCGGAACTACAGTGCCGCCAGACCCTGCAATGCGAGGGGGGGGGGGGGGCAGGCCGTTTAGGGGCCCACAGCCGACCATAATCAATTTTTTAATAGTTAAAAAAAAAAAAATTCCTGTAAAAAAAAAAAAACAGATCTAGATCTACTACAGTAGTGATGTTCTACTGTTTCGTAAAGGAAAAAATATATAGGCTAAATGAGTTGTAGTGTGAAAGATAGGCAAACGTTCAAACCACTTCCATGACTAATTTCCCTTCTTTAAATAGTCAAATATGTGTTTTCTTAAAAAACTTAATAAATTGCACTTAACAATCTAAAAAGCAATTACTTCTCTAATTTATTAAAAAAAAAAAAACATAATAAAGAATGACATAGTAAAAGAAAAAAAAAAAAAAAAAAAAAAAAAAAAAAAATATATATATATATATATATATTGCGCAAAATATATTTTTGCGGGGTGGCCCTTTTTTTCTAGTTCCGCCACTGCTCTACTCTAGTCTATACTCTACTCTAGTGTGTACTAATACTTCATCCCTGATCTTCACAGAACATATTGAACCTAGGTTAAATGTTACAATATAATGTTTTGTTTAATCTTCAAATCTTTAAATAGTCAAATATGTGTTTTCTTAAAAAACTTAATAAATTGCACTTAACAATCTAAAAAGCAATTACTTCTCTAATTTATTAAAAAAAAAAACATAATAAAGAATGACATAGTAAAAAAAAAAAAAAAAAAAAAATATATATATATATATATATATATATATATACATATATTGCGCAAAATATATTTTTGCGGGGTGGCCCTTTTTTTCTAGTTCCGCCACTGCTCTACTCTAGTCTATACTCTACTCTAGTGTGTACTAATACTTCATCCCTGATCTTCACAGAACATATTGAACCTAGGTTAAATGTTACAATATAATGTGTTGTTTAATCTTTGTTTCTGCTTTTCTCTTCGCTGTTATTTGCTTTTTTTTGCCACGCTTATCTCACTTTCCCCACTTTTCCATGCAGACCATTAAAATAAAACTATAGGCCTTATATATATATATATATATATATATATATATATATATATATATATATATATATATATATATATATATATATATATATATATAACATGCCTCTTGAACACCACCACATACTTCTGTAACAAAATAGGTCTTTAACACAATGATAAACCACCTTACAACACACTTCTGACTAGGAGGGTGGTTAAATAATGTCTTAGTTTATTGTTGTTACTAATCATTAGTTATAAAGATTGAACATAGCATACTCATATAGTTTTAAAAGAAAAGTATATTGAATATCTTGTAGGTATCTCTAAAAAATGGATGAGGCTGATGTCCTAAAGTCCACAGAATCACCCTCAGTATGTCCATCAGGATGTAAGCCTAACAGCTTTTTAAATAGTAGCCCTAAGTCCAACCTTAGTCAAAGTATGACTATGTGTCCAGGATTAAAAGATACAACTGTCAAGGTAAAAATAAAAGTAGAAACTAAAAAATTTTATTTTAAAAAATGTTTTTATTTAGTAGGTCTGTTCCAGCCCAAGTACTGTGTGAGTAAAAATTCAAATTTTTATTTCTTATAGGTTGGCCAAACATGCATATATTACCTTTAAATCTAATTATTAATATTCTGTATGGCTTGTTTGTACTTTATGAAAACATGGTTATGGATAATCAGTAAGAATCAAAAATTTTATATTTGATTCTAAAATATCTTATTAAATAGCTTGTTGAGTTCACTTACAATCAAGGATGACTGAACTCAAGATTTACAGATTGGCAACCCCTAGCTCAAAATATCTATGCACATTTGAATTATATTGAAATTGTTGTAGCTATCAAAAACTGTACTGAAATAAAAAGAAAGACAAGATTTGATTGCCTAAACTCTGTGTAATTATCAACAGATGGAATTTGCTGTTGAAATGAATAGTGCTTGCTGTGCTGGTAAAGTTAAAACAGCATTACTTGGATTGGATGGTGAGGCTGTTTTTTTTTTTTTTTGTGTTCTATATGTGGGAGGGGGGTTATGGCCAGAAAGAAACCATATAAAACTCAGAAGTTTTTTTATTTCCTTTTTTATCTTAAACTTTTATGGGGATGAGTAGCTACTAACTTCAAATACTCACCAATTCAACATTTTGAATACCATATGGCCTTCCAACTCTAATTCTTTGATGGTAATAAAACATACAAACCTGAATTAATACCTCCCAACATCAAACGTGTGATATTCCAGCTTAGTTAAAACCCCATATTTAATATCATATCAGTTTGACAACCATTAGCTGATCACTTTAGCTTTCAGTAGTTAATTGCTTCAATAAGAATGTATTAGCATGTTGTATTTCCTGTTGAAGGGGTCTCCTCTGTGGATGTTGATGTGGCAGCCCAGAGGTTGGTCGTTGAAGGCAATATTGCAGCGGAATCTGTGAAGAACACCATTGAAACCAAGACTGGGATGTCAGCTGTTCTGTTAGGCCATGGTATCAATAGTAAGTTTTTTCTCAGGCCTCTATGTTGCCAGGATCATTACTAGACATTTTCATTAGGCCAGCTACTAGTTAAATCAATAGTTAGAAATTACTGTAATCCCGAAAAACAATAACAATTTCACATATTTTTGGCTTTATAACCTTTTTTATATTAAATTTAATAAAAAATTTGTTTACTTTTTATTTATTGTTATTATAAAGATTATAAGGTTTTATACTTACGTTGGGTAAAATCATAGATTTAATAAAGTTAATAAAGAAGTAAAAATACTAATAGAGACAGCATGGTGAAATGGTAGAGCCTACGACTGCTAACCCAAAAGTCCTGAGTTGAGATCTTCAAGTCTGTATGACCACCCTGCTCGGATGGGTACCTTACACGCGCTAGGGAAAGGAAGGCAGTTGGGCATAGTGCTGACCAATTCCCCTTTATGCTGAGCTCATTGGAACAGATAAACTCTACTTTATTTGCCCCATGTGCCTTGGGCAGGAAAAGAAGATTCTGATGAAAAATAATAATTGAGCTTCCTTGTTGCTTCAAATTTGAACTGGCCCATCAACATGGCCGTTATCATTCTGGCCCTTAATGGTCCACCATGTTACAAGAATGTGCATCTCTGAATAGGCTGATTGAAACAAATGTCATCCATTATTTTTTCAGCTCAACAAAGTCTGGGTGCTGGAGTGGCCGCACTAAACATAGGCAGCTGTGGAGTCCAAGGCCTGCTTAGGTTTGTGCAGACAGACACAGACTCATGCCTGATAGAGGGAACAGTTGACCAGCTGCCCACAGCCGAGCCTGTGTTTCTGACTGTCCACCAGACAGGGGACGTGACCTCAGGTTGTGACAGCTGTGGAACTCTCTTTACATCAAGCAGTGTGAGTAACAGAACTCACACTTTAACACCAACATTACATTTTCTATACATTTCAGTAGAATATAATTACTTTATACAAACAGGTCATTTGTGACATTTTGTTGTTGACAATTCAAGAACATTTTACCTGCCCTGTATAATTGTTCTGTTTTTCCTAGTTTCAGGGCATCCTTAGCCAGCTTCACCCACAAGAAAACCAGACGGCAGATTTTCGACTAGTTGCACAAAATGTCAAACTATCAGAAATTATTGGCCATTGTGTGGTTGTACATCAAGGAGATGAGAAGAAAATTGAGTTAAACCAAAGCAAAAGGTACAATAACCAAATTTTTAGAGTCTTTTTGTTTAGCTCAATAGATAATTTTTTTAATTTCAGAGATTTCTTCTGTACATTTAATTATAATGACCTATGACAATGATTGTTATTTCTCAGTGATTGTCATAAAAGATTTGATTCTGATTATTGTTTTTTAAAGCTATTTTCTTATTCAACAATTTAAACATTTCATCTAAAAAATATTTAATACCATTCATTATAATGGGAGAGGGCTTGGTAGGATGGTAGGGCATCCAACTGCTAACCTGTACGTCTCAAGTTTGGATCTCAACTTGAGTTAGTCCTTAACTCTACCAAGCTCTGATGGGTACCTGACTCACATTAGTACAAGTAAAGGCAGATGTGCATAGTGCTGACCACACTAGCCACACTATCCATACTTATGCTGAACTCGCAGAAACAGGTAAACTCTACTTCATCTGCCCCATGGACCGCTAGGTTTGAATCATTTAAACAGAGCTCTGTCTCAACAATTTTCCATACAGTTTTTTAACTGAGCCATCAAACTTTCTACAGGCTTGCATGTAATTTGTTAACTGAACTTTTAAACTTTCTACAGACTTGCATGTAATTTGTTAACTGAACTTTTAAACTTTCTACAGGCTTGCATGTAATTTGTTAACTGAGCTTTCAAACTTTCTACAGGCTTGCATGTAATTTGTTTACTAACTGAACTTTCAAACTTTCTACAGGCTTGCATGTCATTTGTTAACTGAGCCATTAAACTTTCTACAGACTTGCATGTGGGATTGTTGCCAGAGCCTCGGGACTGTTTGAGAACTCCAAAAGGTTTTGTGCGTGTGATGGAATAACAATATGGGAACAGCGTCACAAGGACACTGACAGTAGAAAGCTTTGACGCCAACTGGGTGTCACATTTTTTAGACATAAATCATTTAAACAGCAAATTGTGGAGCTAGGTTTCAATATTTCACCACAAGATACATGTCTGATCAATCTTCACTAGATTTATAAATTCAAATCATTTTTAAAAATATGTGTATGCTGCGTTATATTTGCTAAAAAAAGATGTATAATTTTTGTAACTTAAATGTATTGAAAAAACTATTGAACAGCTGTTGTTAGCCTAGGAAATGAGTTATTGAGTATAATTACTATACTGCTCACATCTTTCTCTTGTTGAATGTGTTTATTTACAAAATGTGTTTGTGTTTATTTACACATTGCGTTTATTTAAAATGTAACTGGACCAGTATATTGTGATGTCACATTACTGACACAACTCTGTCACATTACTGTCACATTACTGACACAACTCTGTCACAATAACAGTGCAGGTTCCTAGGTCTCACACACATATTTCTGGATTGTAAGTTTGTGTTGATGTTCAAACTCAGGTTTTTGTACTCCCATCCATTGTTAAATATTTTAATTATTGTGAAGCCAATCTATTGTAAATAAACAGAAGGCAAAGTAAATGTTCTGTTTTAAACTTTTATTAACACTTATGAAAATATAAAGGCTTTTTATTTTTAAACATTAGGACACATACAAAAACTGGTGACAAAAACCAATTGAAAGTTAACAATTAAACAAACATTGTGTAATACTGTGGTTCAGTGCTGAGAGATATAAGTGGACCTAACTCAAAATAGTCAGGGAGCACAAGCTTTACACACCATGTCACAACACAAGCTTTACACACCATGTCACAACACAAAGCTTTACACACCATGTCACACCAGAAGCTTTACACACCATGTCACAACACAAGCTTTACACACCATGTCACAACACACAAGCTTTACACACCATGTCACAACACAAGCTTTACACACCATGTCACAACACAAGCTTTACACACCATGTCACACCAGAAGCTTTACACACCATGTCACAACACAAGCTTTACACACCATGTCACAACACACAAGCTTTACACACCATGTCACAACACAAAGCTTTACACACCATGTCACAACACAAAGCTTTACACACCATGTCACAACACAAAGCTTTACACACCACAACACATGCTTTACACACCATGTCACACCAGAAGCTTTACACACCATGTCACAACACAAGCTTTACACACCATGTCACAACACACAAGATTTACACACCATGTCACAACACAAGCTTTACACACCATGTCACAACACAAAGCTTTACACACCATGTCACACCAGAAGCTTTACACACCATGTCACAACACAAGCTTTACACACCATGTCACAACACACAAGCTTTACACACCATGTCACAACACAAGCTTTACACACCATGTCACAACACAAGCTTTACACACCATGTCACACCAGAAGCTTTACACACCATGTCACAACACAAGCTTTACACACCATGTCACAACACACAAGCTTTACACACCATGTCACAACACAAGCTTTACACACCATGTCACAACACAAGCTTTACACACCATGTCACACCAGAAGCTTTACACACCATGTCACAACACAAGCTTTACACACCATGTCACAACACACAAGCTTTACACACCATGTCACAACACAAAGCTTTACACACCATGTCACAACACAAGCTTTACACACCATGTCACAACACAAAGCTTTACACACCACAACACATGCTTTACACACCATGTCACACCAGAAGCTTTACACACCATGTCACAACACAAGCTTTACACACCATGTCACAACACACAAGATTTACACACCATGTCACAACACAAGCTTTACACACCATGTCACAACACAAGCTTTACACACCATGTCACAACACAAAGCTTTACACACCACAACACATGCTTTACACACCATGTCACACCAGAAGCTTTACACACCATGTCACAACACAAGCTTTACACACCATGTCACAACACACAAGATTTACACACCATGTCACAACACAAAGCTTTACACACCATGTCACACCAGAAGCTTTACACACCATGTTGCATCACAAGCTTTACACACCATGTCATAACCCACACTTTACAAACCACAACACAAGCTTTACACACCATGTCACAACACACATGCTTACCACAACTCAAGCTTTACACACTATGTCACAACACAAGCTTTACACACCATGTCACACCACAAGATTTACACACCATGTCACAACACAAAGCTTTACACACCATGTCACAACACACAAGCTTTACACACCCTGTCATAACACAAGCTTTACACACCATGTCACAACACACACTTTACAAACCACAACACAAGCTTTACACACCATGTCACAACACACACTTTACAAACCACAACACAAGCTTTACACACCATGTCACAACCCACAAGCTTTACACACCATGTCACAACACACAAGATTTACACACCATGTCACAACACAAGCTTTACACACCATGTCATAACACAAGCTTTACACACCATGTCACAACACACACTTTACAAACCACAACACAAGCTTTACACACCATGTTGCATCACAAGCTTTACACACCGTACCACAAGCTTTACACACCATGTCACACCACAAGCTTTACACACCACAACACATGCTTTACACACCATGTCACAACATAAGCTTTACACACCATGTCACAACATAAGCTTTACACACCATGTCACAACACACAAGCTTTACACACCATGTCACAACACACAAGCTTTACACACCATGTCACAACACAAGCTTTACACACCATGTCACAACACACAAGCTTTACACACTATGTCACAACACACAAGCTTTACACACCATGTCACAACACACAAGCTTTACACACTATGTCACAACACACAAGCTTTACACACCATGTCACACCACAAGCTTTACACACCATGTCACACCACAAGCTTTACACACCATGTCACACCACAAGCTTTACACACCATGTCACACCACAAGCTTTACACACCACAACACAAGCTTTACACACCATGTCACAACACACAAGCTTTACACACCATGTAACAACACACACTTTACAAACCACAACACAAGCTTTACACACCATGTTGCATCACAAGCTTTACACACCACACCACAAGCTTTACACACCATGTCACAACACACAAGCTTCACACACCATGTCACAACACACATGCTTTACACACCATGTCACAACACAAAGCTTTACACACCATGTCACAACACAAGCTTTACACACCATGTCACACCAGAAGCTTTACACACCATGTCACAACACACAAGCTTTACACAACACAAGTTTTACACACCATATCACAACACAAACTTTACACACCATGTCACAACACACAAGCTTTACACACCATGTCATAACACAAGCTTTACACACCACAACACATGCTTTACACACCATGTCACAACACAAGCTTTACACACCATGTCACAACACAAGCTTTACACACCATGTCACAACACACAAGCTTTACACACCATGTCACAACACAAAGCTTTACACACCATGTCACACCACAAGATTTACACACCATGTCACACCACACAAGCTTTACATACCATGTAACAACACACACTTTACAAACCACAACACAAGCTTTACACACCATGTCACAACACACAAGCTTTACACACCATGTCACAACACAAAGCTTTACACACCATGTCACACCACAAGATTTACACACCATGTCATAACACAAGCTTTACACACCATGTCACAACACAAGCTTTACACACCATGTAACAACACACACTTTACAAACCACAACACAAGCTTTACACACCATGTTGCATCACAAGCTTTACACACCACACCACAAGCTTTACACACCATGTCACAACACAAGCTTTACACACCATGTTGCATCACAAGCTTTACACACCACACCACAAGCTTTACACACCATGTCACAACACAAGCTTTACACACCATGTCACAACACAAGCTTTACACACCATGTTGCATCACAAGCTTTACACACCACACCACAAGCTTTACACACCATGTCACAACACAAACTTTACACACCATGTCACAACACACACTTTACAAACCACAACACAAGCTTTACACACCATGTCACAACACAAACTTTACACACCATGTCACAACACAAGCTTTACACACCATGTCACAACACACAAGATTTACACACCATGTCACAACACAAGCTTTACACACCATGTCACAACACAAGCTTTACACACCATGTCACAACACAAGCTTTACACACCATGTCACAACACAAAGCTTTACACACCATGTCACAACACAAACTTTACACACCACATCATACTAGCTTTAAACACCATGTCACAACACACAATCCTTACACACCACAACATACATGCTTTTATACAACACACAAGCTTTACACACCATGCCACAACACACAAGCTTTACACACCATGTCACAACACACAAGCTTTACACACCATGTCACAACACACAAGCTTTACACACCATGTCACAACACACAAGCTTTACACACCATGTCACAACACACAAGCTTTACACACCATGTCACAACACACAAGCTTTACATACTAACATTGTCACAACAATTTATTGTCTGAGCATTTTTTTTGTCTGCATTGCACGCGTTCAGGATCCAGTTAATCTTCAGAAAGTTACTGTTTGCCCTTATACGAAATCTGTGTAGTAAAACATAAGGACAAAATAACTGATCTTTAGACAATAGCTGTTCGTCCTCATTAGAAATCTGTGATGTAAAACACTGGAGTGTTACTTTGTTACATATTATTTCAATATAGCAAAAAAAATATATAAAAAGTTGTATGTGACGCAGAGGCGTAGCGACCCTTCCCGGCGCACGGGGACAAACTTTTCGATTTGCATTCCGCTCAAGATTTTGATTTGCACCCCCCCCCCCCTCAAACTTTCGATTTGCACCCTCCCCCCCCCCCCGTGAGATTTTCATTTGCACCCCCCCTTGAGTTTTCCATTTGCCCCCCCCCCCCCTCAAACTTTCGATTTGCACCCCCTTAACCTTTCAATTTATTTTTCCAACCCATTTTGGCGCCCCCTAAGGTCGGCGCCCGGGGACATATGTCCCCCCCCCGCCCCCCCCCCCCCCTCGCTACGCTGCTGATGTGACGTCGTGACCAAGTGGAGTATGTGACATCTAACCTGTCAGTTGTGGGTTTGAAACCCATGTCTTTATAAAAGTCTGTTAGTTTTGTTTCTTCTTTACAGAGTTCCCCCACACCTGGTAAGAAATCGCACCACACAGACTCAAATAGCCTACCCCTAAAAGTATTATAACAATACTTATTTGCAAATGAATACCCTGACTAAAACTTTGTGAGCGGCCTATGTTTTATTTTTAGTTATATTACCCAAATAATAAGTGAAGTAGAGTTCACCTGTTTCTGTCACCTAGGCATATGAAAGGATAGTACGGTCAACACTATGCCCGGCCGCCTTTACTTTTCCTAACGTAAGTTATGTACAGAGGCGTAACGACCCTTCCCGGCGCCCGGGGACAAACTTTTCGATTGCACCCCCGTCAAGATTTCGATTTGCACCCCCCCCCTCATACTTTCGATT